TTTTAATTACAATACACAACAATTTACCAATCAAGTGGCGATATGTTTGTTAACAATAATTAGTCAGTGTCAAAATGTCAATGGGGTGGTAATTAACAAAGAAAAATTAATATGTATAATCAAAAGGTGGAAATGATTACAACAAGTGGATTGCATAATGCATAATTTTGGAAAAATGAAGAGCAATTAAGGAATAAGCGTGTGCACAGGTTGATTACGTAACAGATTGTTAAAGAAAATAAAACAATTTGGACAATGATAATTTGTAACCAAAGTTGAAGCGGTCATAAGAATAAAATAATTTTTACAAGGATAACACGTAATTAAAGATGGAGTAGTCAGAAAAATAAAATAATTTGTACAATTATAGTTTTTATAGTTTTTTTTAAATGAAAAAATATTTTATGGGGAGGGGGATAATGTAGTCCGGTTTATACAATCATGTAACGATGGCCAAGGTAAGAAAAGTGGCTGTACAAACTTCTTCTGAACACACAAGTTTGGCTTCTTCAGGTGGATTCCTATCGCTTCAGCTGTATGTAGAAGATGAACTCGTAAAGCAAAATTAAGCTTAGTAGGAATGCGATAAATAATTGTAAATGCTGTATTAACGTCAACTTTATGCTCACTATCTACAAGGTGGGCTAAAATAGAGCTATGAATAGATCTTGTTACCGTTACTTTGTCAGTAATATTCCTTATTGAATAAGAAACTGATGGTGTAGCTATAGGTTCCCCATTAGGCCTAATACTAGCGGATTTTGTCCTCGCTAAGTTAGAGAATGGACCACTGAAAGGAGTAATTAGTGACTTGGATTTCTACTGTCGATATATGGATGATACATTTCTAGTCATAAAAAACGAGGACGATGCAATGAACATCCTTGACAAGTTTAATGATGCCCATTCAGCAATAAACTTTACCACAAAGAAAGAAAGTAATGACAATATCTCATTCCTAGACGTCGTCATGGCAAGGAAAGAAGATGGCACACTAAGAAGGAGTGTGTACATGAAACCTACTACAAGAGGTCAGTACACTCATTTTTTGAGTTTCGTACCTGTGAAATATAAACGTAACCTAGTAAAGTGTCTGGTTCATAGAGCTAGGTTAATCTGTTCAGACGACTGCTTCAATGAGGAGCTTAAGGTTACTGGAGAATTACTTAGAAAAAATGGTTATCCAGATAAGTTTATTGAGAAAAATATGAATTCATCACCCAGGACAGTTCCGAAAAAACCACTGTTCATAAAACTTCAGTTCCTCGGTGACAACATCAGCGAATTAATAACACAACGACTGAGAATGCAGTTAAAAGAGCTTATTATGCAGCAGAGGTACTCTGTCTCTTCACAACCACACCTATCCTACGTTCGAGTAATAAGGATAAACTACCTAAATTCGCCTCCTCTATGTGTATCTACCAGTTTGACTGCAGCTGCGGAGCCAGCTACATCGGGCGAACAATTAGGCAGGTTCATCATCGTATTTCCGAACATCATCCGGCATGGTTAAGCAAGGGACAAACAAGATCTATTCGTAGCTTTATTGTAGCCCACCTTGTAGATAGTGAGCATAAAGTTGACGTTAATACTGCATTTACAATTATTTATCGCATTCCTACTAATCTTAATTTTGCTTTACGAGTTCATCTTCTACATACAGCTGAAGCAATAGGAATCCACCTGAAGAAGCCAAACTTGTGTGTTCAGAAGAAATTTATACAGCCACTTTCCTTACCTTGGCCATCGTTACATGACTGTATAAACCGGACTACTCCATCCCCTCCCCCTAAAATATTTTTTCATTTAAAAAAACTATAAAAACTATAATTGTACAAATTATTTTATTTTTCTGACTACTCCATCTTTAATTACGTGTTATCCTTGTAAAAATTATTTTATTCTTATGACCGCTTCAACTTTAGTTACAAATTGTCATTGTCCTAATTGTTTTATTTTCGTTAACAATCAGTTACCTAATCAACCTGTGCACATGCGTATTCCTTAACTGCCCTTCATTTTTCCAAAATTATGCATTATGCAATCCACGTGTTGTAACTATTTCCACCTTTTAATTATACATATTAATTTTTCTTTGTTAATTACCACCCCATTGACATTTTGACACTGACTAATTATTGTTAACAAACATATCGCCACTTGATTGGTAAATTGTTGTGTATTGTAATAAAATGCTATACAGAATATATTAGAGTAGAGCCATAGATGAGGATCTAATTGAAAAGTAAATAACAGACTGTTTTAGATTTTCTAAACACTCAAAGAAACGTCTGTGATTCATAGAAGTTATATCTCTGTGTGTTAACGCAACGCCTGATTGATACAGCATGTTTTGAATTTCTTTAAGACGATAAATTAACGGGCAGGCAATGTCGTTTTTCTTTAAGTATATAAAAGCCATCGCTGTCAAACAGTTAAGACCTGATTATGTATTCATGCAAGTATTGTAGTAAGTCTGTCTCTTTTTTGGTAACTTACCCTGTGGTGGCCAGAAAATATCAAATTATAAGTTCACCGTAAATAGTAAAAATATGTAATTATCAGAAAATCATGGTTGTTACGCGAGATTGAACAAGGACAACCTGGTTCCGTGAGTGTAACGGATGACACTTCTTCCCTCTCCAGCTTCTCACATTCCACATCTGCCAATCAAGTCTGCCTCGTAGCTGACTGATCAGTACATCCACATAATAATCCTTTGCTCCAATCTACTTTTCTCTACGCAAGTTCCCTCCGGTCGTTGGCATCCCTTACGTGTAGCTGAGCATCTGTATACTCACGGAAAAGACTATTTCATCCCTATTATTCTGAACGTCTATATTTGAGTATTTTCGGATTATTATAACTTTTCAAATAACTACATTTTATGTGTATATTAAATTATGTGGACTGAATACCCTTCCGTATATACATACATGCTAGTATTTGTTCTGTCCTTTTTATTTCGCTTAAAAACCGACTTAGCCGTTTAGTCCACTACAACCTTATGAACTTGAACTGATCTTATTAGAATTTATTAAATGTAAGCATAGGTTCCTCTTCATCCTCGCTTTATTACATCATCATTTATTATACGCTATGCTTCAAGTGTCTGAAATACCTTACTAAATGATCTTCACTCACAATGTGTACTTCAATTGTTGGTTCTTAAGGACTTAATTCATTTCAAGTTTATCATGAACTCGCTTCAGTTACAGGACCATTGTGCAACCAGAAGTACTGTTTCATTCTAGCCTGGGACTCCTCAACAATACATACCCGCCAGGGACCAAACATTTAACCCTCAAGTTACGAGTCAATTACAAGGATCACTCAGTCACTAGGATGGAACCCAATAGCTCGTGAATTCTAACTTCTGTTGATGTGCGATGATATATATATATATATATATATATATATAGTGTGACTTCCAGTCAGTGTTATCAGCGAGTATATTTTCCCTTGCAACCGGCTTCGTGGATCCAGTTGGTGTTGACCTTTAACTTGAACTTAAGGCAAATTCATTCTGTAGTCATTTGCTAGAGAGCGCGGTTCTGCAGCGGATGTCATTCTATGATCAATCTTAAATATTTCATTTATTTCTAAATTTTCTAGTAAGTAAGTAAGTTTTGTACATCAATATGTTGTTGGTATCCCTACACTTCTCAATTCTCAAGAAGCTCTGATAGCATTGCAAATTACATAATTATACCATTTTGAATTATCTATACCACATGATAATTTTGAACTACTGTTTGATATTTGTTTATTTATTGCAGTAGACTGAATAATGCGACACAGAGCGGGTAGTGAGGAAACAGGCATAAAATGGACACACACAAAACAACGTAGAGGATATGGACTTCGCCGAAGATATATCTCTGATCTCCAACAAACTGGAAGATACGCAAGTGAAAAGCAACAAATTGACAGAAGAAGCATCCAGAGAAGATAGGACTTCAGGTGAACATAGAGAAAACAGAGTGATGATGAAGATTCCTGGCCAACAGTAACATGAAAAGCAACCACAACGGACAATAACCAGCATAAATAGCAGAAATCTGGGAGAAGCAACCTCCTTCACCTACCCAACTACCTGGCAAGCATCGTTTCAACTACAGGAGGGCCGAACTGATGAGAATATCAAAGCGAGGATTGGGAAAGCAAGGCAGGCTTTCATTTCTCTCAAGTCTGTGTGGAGATAAGTCAACAGCACCAGCATGAAAATGAAAATAAGATTAGGATTTTCAACTTCATTGTGAAGTCAGTGCTACTTTATGGACCAGACACTTGGCCAGCGCATCATGAAGAGCACTTCACACAAACTACAGACTTTCATCAACAGCTGTCTTCCCTCAATACTCAAGATCAGGTGGCCACAAAAGATCAGCAACAGGGATCTCTGAGAAAGAACCAATTGTGCAACAAATATGCAGGAAGAAATGGAGATGCATCGGACACACTCTGAGGAAACGAACAATCAAGTGACATCACACGCCAAGATATCGCTCGAGGCGAACCCGAATGGGAAGCGGCGAGTTGGTCGTCATTTCGAGGGTGACATGAAGGAGGTCATAGGAAGAGGGGATGAAAGCATGTGAGAAGAGTTGAAGCCAGGTGAAAATGTTGTCGGAGAACCAAACGCGATGGAGACGTGTGGCTGAACCTCTATATTCCTTAGGAACTAAAGGGAGCAATAATAATAATAATTTGTTCCTACAATGTATTAAATCATGTTAAAACTGTTATAATATGACTACAAACTTTCTTTATTTAAGTGGCGGCCAGTTGGAAAGAGTTACTGGCGAAATATGCTCTGTTCAAATGCATATTCCTCAAAGGGAATGAAATTTAAGATCGATATAAACGAGTACAAATGTGGTTGAAACCACGGTCTGTTTTACCGATCTTTCCAATCTAATAATTCTCTATTTTATACTGAAATCAGTTAAGCCGTATGCACTTTGAGATGTTTAAAAAGTCTTTGATCAAAAGTATTCACACCATTTATGCATAAAAATTACAGAATAAGTTATACAAATTTGAATTACATCAGAAATAAATAACAGGGGCTAAAAATTATATATTCCTTTTACAATGAAAGTCAACTGTAAAATAATGTTAGTAACGCTGATCCTATTTCAACTTCGTGGATCATATGTATAACGACCAGTATTGAAGCGTGAACTTGTTGGATTCTCTGAGTCAATAATATCTTCATTGGCATCATATGTTATTTCAGAGTCTTTCCAACTTTTATTTGGAATTCTTGAACTACCGCCAATATCACTGGGTCCACCGCCACCTCCTAGGTAACTTACAGACTGTTGATCTGTTAGATAATGTGGTTCTGTATAACGTGGATCATCGATCATTGGTGGAGGTGGTGGTGAACTAATACCCATATTTGCTTCATTTTCAAGCAGGTTATCACTTGCTCTCTGTTGTTTGGCGATTTCATCCAAATCAAGATAAGTTATAAAACTGATGATAAACGCTATAAATGTACAGACAAAGCTTAAAACACCAACTGCATATGACCATGATAGAACATTCAATTCAGGGTATGGCATCCAACGACTATCATATCTAGCGACAGCAAAGGCAATTAAAGCAGCAGCCAATGTTAGACCTAAAAACAACAGGTGAAGAAAACATTGTGATTGGCTTTAATATTGTTTAGGAAACCATATTTAACAAAGATTTAGAAAGGGAAGAGATCTGTCAGCACTCAGTTGGTTAAACAATAAGGCTATCTTATCCTATGTATTCTACTTTATCTTATGTATAATGCGACAGACACCAGGTAGTGAGGAAAGAGGCATAAAATGAACCCAAACAAAAAAGATGCATAGGATCTGGATTTCGCTGAGGATATATGTCTTATTTCCCACAAACTACAAGATATGCAAATAACAACCAACAAGTTGGCAGAAGAAGCATCAAAGATAGGAGGGACTTCCGGGGAGTATGGAGAAAACAGAGGGGAGGAAGGTTCCTGGCCAACAGCAACAACAACAGACAACAATCAACATAAACGGCAGAATTGATATAAGTATAAAACTTGGGCACTTTAGTAGAGTATAACTCCATTAAGAATAAGATTTTATTTTGATATATCACACGGTGTTATACAGAAGCAACCTCCTTCACCCACCCACCTACCTGGAAAGCATCGTTTCAACTACAGGAGGGCCGGACTGATGAGAATATCAAAGTGAGGATCGGGAAACCAAGACAAACTTTCAGTCCTCCAATGTTTGTGTGGGGGTCAACAGAACTCAGCATTAATAACAAGATCCGGATTTTCAACTCCAATGTGAATTCAGTGCTACTATATGGATCACAGACTTGGCCAGTGCATCATGAAGAGCACTTCACACAAACTACAGACTTTCATCAACAGCTGTCTTCCCTCAATACTCAAGATCAGATCGCCGGCCAAAAATGATGAGCAATAGGGATCTCTGGGAGCGAACCCACCCAGCAGGTACCAATTGTGCAACAAATATGCAGGAAGAAATGGAGGTGGATTTCCTTGGCCATACTCTGAGAAAACAAACCATCAAGTGATATCACACGCCAAGACATCGTTGAAATGAAACTCGAACGGGGAGCGGTAAGTTGGTCGTCAGTGCGAGGGTGACATGGGGAGGTGATCCGAAGAGGAGATGAATGCATGTTAGCAGACGTGGAGCCAGGTGAAAACGTTGTCAGAGAACAGAATTGAATGAAGACGTGCGACTGAACCCCTATGTTCCTTAAGGAACTAAAGGGAACAATAATAAATAATAATCCTATGTATTCAGTGGAACCAATAAATTACGTTATCAAGCTACCTGATATGATACTGTGGTCCACTGAGCTGTACATTTTCTCGTAGTTTTCATTATTAGACACTGGCGGTCACTCATCACGAAGCCATGTGGATAGATTTACTGTATGTTAGCACGTATCAATATGAAAGCCTTGAGGAGGACTTCTTTACCCTCCGGGACCTGCATCCACTTCATTTATTACAACTGAAGGCAGAGATCTACGTTAGGTCATTTGTCTAGTTTGTGTGAAATTTGAGACAAACCTGTCTGACCTGAAAGTAAATCGATATTGATTAAACCTTTTTTCTCACCGTATAACATTCGAGTGGTGCTCAAATTTACAAAAAGTTAGAAATCGTAGGCTTGATGCTTTACAGCAGTGTTAGTATGCAGTAATAATGCAGGCAATATAGCATTCCTGAGTATTCCAAGGGTTAATTGTCTGTTGTGGATCGTTGGACTGAGCTGTCGACTACCATCCAGTGGGCCATGGTATCGCGCCCCACTCCACTCACTCAAGTTTGGAGAATCAAGTGGCGTCAATAGCTACCCCACAATAGGTGTTTCGCTCACTGCTATCTCGACGGAATCGCAAGTGAGTGTTGAGTAACTTACGTTTTGTTTACCTTTTTTTGATTATAGCTTGATTCCACACCGTCTTTTTGGTAAAAGTATGGAATTTTCAACATGTGATATGGGTAGCCCAAATTTTACAGGCCAACCACTGATATCAGATATGCGTTGGCAGAGGATTGAACCCCGGACTATTTGCATGGTTAGTGAGAGTCCTAACCGTTGTGCCACCAACACAGATGACGTCATCTTGTACAGAAGTCTTCTTTGAAATACTTGAAATCGTCACTAGACATGCAGGTTACTGATAATTCTCATTATTTTGATACATAACACCTCTTATTGAATAGCCATAATGAAGTATATTAACGTAAATCGTTATGCTGGTTAAAATTTACGTCAAAATAAAGCCTGAAAAATTGCAGGCTTCTTTAACTGACGAATAAATACACCTGATTTTGTTTTCAACAGATTATCTAGAAGATTAAGTAGACTGAGAAATTACAACAGAAGTCAGAGTGAATAGAACTAACTGGAAGGAAACAAATAAGCCCACGAAACATCTGTTAGATGTATGTTGTAAATGATTACACGTTGTTTATGCAGTTAATAAGTCATTAATATTATTATTTTTTGCTATACTACTAAGTAATTAATAAGTAACATGCTCACTGTTATAACTAAGATTTCTGGGATAGAATATCAGGAAATCTGTGAATTCCTTGTAATTCGTGATCTAAAACTTAGAACGCAACTTTGCCAAATATATTCTGCATACTTTGAGTTCCTCCGTAATAAAAAAAAATTGTCTGAATCATATTGGTGTCAGGCTTTATGACGAAATGACATCATTTGAAGAACTGTTGGAAAACAGAGAGTACTGGAAGCCTATTTCGCCCTTGTTTGGAACTCCCATAAGTACGTACTCATTACCCCACTGGAGATTGAACCTAGGAACTTAAGGTTACGAGGTGAACTCGTTGATGATTCAGTCAATTAGATGGAATCCAACAGTTCATGAATTCCAACTTTTGTCAGTTTTCGAGACATGACGCAACCAACAGCCAATTACACCTGTCACAACTTCTTACAATAAATTCAAGCAGCTTTGTCCTGTATTCAGTCACTAGTGGGCAGTTGATTAATATTCAAGTGTTTACCTGCGAGAACTTAACTGGTTCCAAGTTAAATCACAGACTGATATCACTTAAAGAACAATTGAAAACTAAGCGATACTGGTTAGAATTCACGGACGATCAGATTCCATCCTAGTGGCTGACAGATCGTTGAGGTCATCCTGGTTTCCATCCCCCAACAGGGTCGTGAAACGAGTTTGAGATTAGAATGAAACAACTATCTGGTGCTCAAATGGTTCTCTAACTGATCTCAGTCCTTGATCTAACTCGAAACGAATCAAGTCCCTTCACACGAGCAGCCCAATGATACTGTCCAGGTTATAAAGTTCTTTATCTAGTTTTTGCATCGATTCAAATAGACTTAGTTCAAAATCACTTGCAAATTGCTACCCTTACTCCTGGATCACCATCTGGCCTAACTGATGAGGATTCGCAGGTTGTAAATTTCTTTATTTCAGAACAGCATAAGTCCATGACATTTCTTAGCGTTTCTAGCAAAAGTCGCAGTTTTAGTATTTAAAAGAAAGAGGTTCAGTTACTACCATTACTTTTAAACTGCTGTAGAATCAATAAATTTATAAATACCGTTTCATATCACAACTCTTAAGTAAAGACCTTTATGCTCTATGTATGCTGCCTTTTGTTCGTACCTTATATAATATTTCTTCGGTCAGATTCGTCTGATTCATTCACCTTTATACCTTTACACTTTACGAATAAATCTTCTATTTTCTTAAATTATTCTTGCACTTTCACTTACACACATACACATATGCATAACCTTCTACCTCATTGTGCCTATCTATTTTTCACTTGTTCATCCATTCGTATGAAATTAGCAGTCATAACGAATCAAACTCATCTTGGTTGATGGCGATTAACAGTGGGGTCCAAGATGAGTATTTCATCCCATTTGGGGCTCGTCACCTGGATGTACCTGTGGTGATGGTCTCGTTTAGATTCAAACCCCGCATCAGCCATTTCAGACAGAAAAGCTCCATCCATTAGGCCACAGATGCCTAAACGGCTATCTTCTACACAGTGGTTATCAGTCTTTAAGTTCACTGTGCATCCCCCATTGACTGATTATGTTGAACCAAAATGCTCGGGCTCGGTTGCAAAGCTTGTTTCTGATTAGGATGCTCCGAAGATGTCTCAGGACTCACTTGAAGATATTTTAGATTGTATTAACTAGAGTAGACTATTTCGAACACTTCAACTGGCATTCAGTCTTCACTAAACAAAGGACTAGACGAATGACACTAGTTACCTACTAACTAGTACCGAATCAAAGTATTCAATACAGTCATACAGGAGGTCAGTCGTGAGCCCGAATAGTTTATTGTTGACGTCTCTGACGGCAAAAGTAGGTGACACTGGTTTTCAATCTCAGGTGGGACATGGGTTCCTTGAAGAAAGTAGATACGTCTTGCTAAGGGATGCCAACAGGCACGAAACCCAGATCCAGAACCCCTGCTAATTTACTCCAATCATCTAATAATTCCCAGTGAGGGATGGTTACTCCTTGTACGCTGCGAAGGCGTCCATATTTGGAGACAAAATGTCTAAAGAGATTGAGAATCTCGGTCCAACATAATCAACCAACAGGCAATGCAAAACAAGTATTAATCATAAGTTTTCAGTGCCTATTTTATTTTGTAATAAAGCACTTTGACTACTCATGAGTAGACACAAATACACATATATATTTTTAACTACAAAGCGTGAATTGGTAGGTGTAATTCACGTAGGAATGAATATGGTATTAAAATAGCTTTAGAGTAGCTTTCACTAGATTTCTTATTGTTATCCCTAAAATGTGTTCACCATTCGGTTACTTTTCAGCACACTTTCAAGGCAAAGTATGAGTTTCAGAAGGAGTTGAGTGTCACTGGCTTCAAAAGATACATGGAGAAAGCATATTTGATTTTTAATAGTTTGTGCTTGTTAAAAATTTAAAAATAACATTCTGTCCTATCAGAACATTTCGTTTGGTCCTTGTTTGAATCAAATGCTTTTTTGTCTACTATATTCATGTCTAACACAAAATAACACATTTGTTTACTCGCACACTGTGTTCTAACTTACTCTCATTGTCTGATTAGTTACCCTTTTTGGAAACTTACAGAAAATACGCACCTTAGTCCTAAATAACCACTGACGAGCAGTATGGTGAACCTAGACTGGAGATGAATCACTGATGTATATATTCTATGATTCCATGAACTATATTACTGAAATCTATATCAAGTTGACGATGTCATCTGATAGTTTCCGGTTCTTTATAATTGCACTACAAATTGTTTGATTATCTTACATTATGATGGTTGAGTTTGACGGTATTCACTGTGTCTACAGTCAACAACAATAATAAATTATTGGGACAACGAGGAGACAGGCATAAAATGAACACACACAAAACAACGTAGAGGATCTGGACTTCACCGACGACACATGTCTGAATTCCCACAAACTGGAAGATGTCTAAGTTAGAAGCAACAAGTTGGCAGAAGAAGCATCAAAGATAGGAGGGACTTCCGATGAACATAGAGAAAACAGGGATGTTGAAGATACCTAGGCAACATCAACAACAATAGCAATCACAACAGACAAAAGTCAGAATAAATGGAAGAAATCTGAAAGAAGCAACCTCCACCAATCCCCCTTCTTGGGAAGCATCGTTTCAACTACAAGCGGATGGAACTGACGAGGATATAAAAGCAGCGAGGAGCGGGAAATCAAGGCAAACTTTCATTTCTCTCAATTCTGTGTGAAGGTCAACAGCATTCGGCATGAAAAACAAGATCCGGATTTTCAACTTCAATGTGAAGTCAGTGCTACTTTATGGATCAGAGACTTGACACACCAAGTGTCATGAAGAGCACTTCACACAAACTACAGACTTTCATCAACAGCTGTCTTCCCTCAATACTCAAGATCAGATGGCCGGCCAGGAAAGATGAGCAATAGTGAAAGATCTCTGGGAGCGAACCCACCCAGCAGGAACCACGTGTGCAACAAATGTGCAGGAAGAAATGGAGATGCATCGGCCACACTCTGAGGAAACGAACAATCAAGTGACATTACACGCCAAGATATCGCTCGAGGGGAACCCGAATGGGAAGCGGCGAGTTGGTCGTCATTTCGAGGGTGACATGAAGGAGGTCATAGGAAGAGGAGATGAAAGCATGTGAGAAGAAGTGGAGCCAGGTGAAAATGTTGTCGGAGAACCGAACGCGATGGAAACGTGTGGCTGAACCTCAATATTCCTCTAGGAACTAAAGGAAACAATAATAATAATAATTCATCACTTTTCAGATAGCTGAAATAGTCTCTATTTAGCAGACTCATGTTAACATAATCCGCAAACGAATAAAGTCAGTAGCGTAGAATTTTGATTCCTAGTTATTACCTATCACCATATCAACTACTCTACAGTACGAGCCAGCCTCACTAATGAAAATATCAAATCCAGGATGGAGAAGGTGAGATAAGAGTTGGTCATTCTAAAACCAATGTGGAGATTCATGTTGCAGTACTTAGCAGAAGGAACAAGATTTGAATTTTCAGCACTAATGTCAAACCACTGACTTGACACACGTGAAACAAGACAGTTTCCGTTAAGCTAATGTGGAATTTCTTTAATAACTGCCCATGTTGATCGACAGTGTGTATACGTTGACCAGTCATGAAGGATAAGGTAGCAACAAGGAACCGTGGCAGCGTAGAGAACCAGTTAAGAACGTATGAGAGATGTAAACTGGAAACAGGCTGAGGAGTTTTTCAAATGACATCACACGTAAGACCCTCAGGTGAAACACGAAAGTGGAGGGATGATCCGAGCGTATGTAAAGTTTACCACATGTGGTCAGTCACAACCAGAATGTCTTCTCTGTAGGATTTAAGTAGCATAGCTTCTGATAACGGAACTATCGTGTTAATGCGAACTTGTTAATTAGGTAGGAAATTATAAATATGCATTATCCTTCCCTTGCCTAGTTTACCAACCGGTTCTAAGCCGAGTTAAAGAGGGAATCGCTACAGAAACTTGAAAGCACAAAAAATTATAAGTAGATGGAAACATTTATCGAAAACCCTATTATTGTAGAATAATAACATGGTTTCGTCAGTTTAAACAGTTCGCTCTTATAAATGTTCATGGGGCTTTCTTTGTCTGCATCATTCTGAGTAGGAGAGAGCAGCAAGGTGAGTCCTGGCAACTATTGCAAAGTACTGTATGTATCACAATGTGAAAGATGAACTTTCACCATACCTTTACGCTTATTTTAGTGTTATTGCCTTTACTATTATTGGAAAAAGTAAGACTATTCGGGGTAAGAGTGTTTGAGAGAGTCTTGGATTGACAGACTGTTTCTGATGCATTAGGTTATAAGTGAAGTTGAGATGAAAATCTGAGTTGCCACAAGATTTGATCCAGCCGCGCTCTACCAGATGGCCTATGAGATTTGGGTGTCAGCCAGGTTGTAGCTCATTCAGAGTTTTACCAGTACTTCAGAGGCCACTTGTTCGAATTCAGCAGTGAACTATATTTTCATTTCACCTCTAGCTATCATGCAGTACATAAATAAGTAAATACTCATTAATGGTTGGCTAAAGGCTAAAGTTGCTTGGAGTTCTATTGAGAATTCATCTAGCGAATCGGGGGCTAAGACGAATACTCGCCAATAACGCTGGCTGATGATGGCACTATGTATCGAGAAGTGGCAGAAGTTAGGGTTCATGTGTAACTTGATTCCATTAAAACGATGGAATATTTAATGGGTTTGCCTATTGACCTTAAGGTTTTAGACTTCTTTCCCAGGTGGGGTGAATAATGCAGAAGAGTCCCAAACAAGGACGAAACCGCTTTGCAGTATTCCCTGGTTTCCAGTGGTTCTTTAACTGGCATCATGTCATGATCTAGCCTGGAAATAATCAAAACACTGCATGCTGACAATTTCAAATTAAGTAAAAATATTATAAACACAACTTACATGTAAAGAAATGACCTGTCGCAACAAATTTCAACGTTTTAATGTCAGATTTAGGAATTGCACCAGACACTTGACACAACACAGTAAATAAAACTAGAAATTGAATTAGAATTCCACATGAAGAAGTCACTTGTATTGCATATAGCCAAACTTTTAAAGAAGAAGAAAGGAAAGGTAAAAGAAATTAAGTGGACAGTAAATTACGCGAATGGAAATTGAAATGAAACGAAAATCGAAAAAATTAGTATACTGTATAAGTGGCATATCCCCTTTTCTTCTGCGCAGTATATAACTGATTATATCCGTGGATTCAACAGATTTCACTGAGGACCTACCTGGCTCCTGTAGATGTAGGAAAGTCTGACATTATTTTAGTGTATTGCAAGCAATTATATCATAGTGTATTCACTGTTCTGGTGGACAGCTTCATGCATCTGAAGTAAGGGTAGGTTGAAATTGTACTTGCTAAAACTATCGGTATGATATTAAACGGTTTGGAGCGGTTGGTAGAAAGCCCTGTAACTAGGTATCGAACTTCTTGGCACTCATCAGCAAGGCGTATCTAAAAGCTTGGATGAACTAATGTTCCCTCTGAGATTCGCCCCTGATTCACTCACTGTCGGAGTCAGAAACGCTTCCATCAAGCTAATCGGACTCACGAATGATATCCTACTTCACTCTGACAGATACATAGATCGGTCATTACGCAGTAGTCATTATCAAGCATCTTATCCGTGGTACTGGTGCATACAAAATTCTATCAGTCAGTTTGTGATCACCAAGTTAGGTGACCCTGTAACAACAGAAGACAAGGGCCAGGCAACAGATCGTTTTATTATGAAAATCAACACGTATTTATACATATTTCACATACATTATTACAGCTTATGCAAGTAGACAAGCGCAGTCATCTGATTGGTTGTTTATCAGGAGTTAGGCGGACAAAAGCAGGCTTCGGATTGGTTGTTTAGGGATTCCTCGACAAATAGAGTTCTCTATCTGCGAATCATATTTTGCCACGTTAACTTTGCTGTGATTGGTTGTTAAATCAGCCTTGTACATATTTTCTCACGGCCTGCTCTCACCACAACCCACCATCGTGGTTCATTATAAGCGGATGTCAGCCGGTTGAAGGCAGTTGGCGGGAAGTCTTAGTGACTAATCAGTGTATTTATTATGGCACTACAGTAGGTCAATAGTGAGCCCAAACAGCTTAGTGGTAACGTCTCTAACTGCAGAACTGGGTTCGAATGGTATTGGGGACATTAGTTTCTTTGAGACTACAGAAACCCCTTGTGACAAGTATCATTTAACACGATACTAAGGTTCAGAGCCTCCTACCAATTGCTTTTAACTAACAAACATCAATTCACAAGTGCACCATAATCACATATCACCAAGCTTGATGACTACATTGCAGATTTGGCTGATATAATTCAGTCTACTCCATCCCAAAGGACTAAATGCGTGACATTAGCTACTTTCTTTGGATGAATCAACAAAAAGCAGAATATAAAGCAAGATGAAATGAAAGCAAATGGCAACAGGCAGCTGACAATAATTGTCAACAAAGTGCGGTGTTAGTACTGTAAGAAAAATTCCACTCAAACAATCAGAAGACAAATAATTGAGCGGAAAAATTTTCCTTTTTAACCCATATACTTGTCAATGACTATTCGCTATATATGTGAGCTAAATTTTTAGATTCTGTCAGTGGAGTCAAGAGAAAATAAATATGCCTCTCTTTATCACTCACATTTGTAATAATCCTGAAATGCACATTTCCTCTCCTAGTTTTTGCAAACTTGATCCGTTTTCAGGTAATTGAAGCACATATATACACTAATGACAGAGACCCTAGTTTGTGAGTAAATGGTCATTTTGAATGTTTTTTAGATAAGAGAATGGATTTGAATTAAAATATAAAAGGTACCTTTGCAAAAACCCAACCAAACATAAATTGTGAGGTGAATAAGATTAAGAACTAATACCTGGAAGTCTGTCACTAACTTTACAGTGTCCACTTCATTTTGAAAGGGTTAAATTTTAAGCCTATTTTAGCTTTGATTATAGATCATTGATAAGACAATATAGAGCTTGTATAACGATAAAAGAGTGACTAGTAGACAGTCTATCTCATTGACAAGTAACTTGAATGACACCTGATACGTGGACTGAAATAAAAGGAGTTTTCAAACTTTTTCTTGTTATTTCCTGTAACTATGGGACAGTAAATGGTCACTGATGATCTATTCTTCTCCCCTCTCATGACCCTTAAGCTATTGATCTTAATGACCAAAACTTCGTAGAAGCCACTTTTTTAGCTGTTTACACAAAAGGTGCCTAACCTCTTACTTCAAAGTACTATTTATGGCAATGTGGTCAAACACCTCAACACACCTCATCATGTATCCCTTCTATTGTAGCCTCATCAAATATTTGTATGGTGTAATAACATTAGGAGAAGCTTTCAAATTATCATTATTATGATTATTATTATTATCATCATAGAGTCTTCTTATCGTCCCAGAGTACTGCCGTCTTCTTGTTCCCCACGGTTGAATGAGTAATCCAACTATGTAGGCGAGAATATAGGAATACCCTGTACCGATATGACTCTCGAAAATCTGGATTTTGCAGATAATTTGTGTCTAACATCACACAAACTCGAAGACTTACGGGCGAAAACCAACGAAATGGATGAAGAAGCAGCGAAGATAGGACTCCAGGTAAACACAGAGAAGACAAAGGTGATGAAGATACCCATTCACTGACAGCAACAACAACAATCACCTATCACTACCAACGGCAGAAAAACTTTAAAGAGGTCACTCCCTTCACTTATCTAAGAAGCACATTTTCAACCAAAGGTGGAACGGATGACAATGTCAAAGCCAGCCAGAATTGGAAAGGCAAGATACGCCTTCATCAACCTGAAACCAGTTTGGAAATCTTCTGCACTCCGCAACGTAAAGAAAAAGATTCGGATTTTCCACACTAATGTGAAGTCAGTGAGTGCTACTATACGGGTCAGAAACTTGGCGTTTAGTTAACGAAGGGCATTTCCAGCAAGTAACAGACTTCTATCAACATCTGCCTCCGCTGGTTACATGCTGAGGATCAAACGGCCGGTGAAAAGAATTGGCAACAAGACACTGTGGAAACAAACCAACCAAGAGCCGATCGCTCAACAAATATGTAAGAAAAAATGAAGATGGATTGATCGGAAATAGGTTGAGGAGGCTGTTGGATGACATCGCGGTCAATGCAGGCCATCGCTCGAGTGAAAACCGAATGGAAAGCAGCAAGTGGGTGGTCGGTGCAAGAATGACATGGAGGAGATAGTGTGAGTAGGAGGTGGCAGACTATGAGCAATCCCGGGGCCATCTAGTGAGGACAGCAGAGAAGAGGATGAAGTAGAGATCTGATGTTGAGTCAATATGTTCCACTCGGAACCCAGACGAATAATGAATAATAATAATAAATCTGAAAAATGTACACCCTGTGATATGTAAATAAATGCGCATGAAAAACTCGAAAATTTAACAAGAATTACTTGATTATCAGTTTAGCAATTTCCTCATTTACAGTATGCTTTTTCTTAAACTATCTTAATAATCTTCCCAGTATCGCCATCATCTGTAGACACTTTGAAAGATAAACTAGATCTACAAAGAGATATCCATAAAAACGGCCATCAAAGAGCATAAGCGTCCACTCTCCTTTATCATCTGAACCTGAGTGTGAATCATCAGTTGACCAAGAACCAATCCAGAATAAAAAGCCAGAAGAGAGAGACAGGCTTTAAAGGATTCACAAACATATCTGCACATAACCGACGACTGCGTGTATTCTGAGAACAACAAGAAGCATGTGTTGTTTTTTATTATCATTAATTTATGCTTTCATTCTCAAAACGTAATTCAGTTTTTGGCAAAGTTAAATTATAACAGCCACATGTAGCTTAATCAAATCAAATTATACCTTGTTCTTTGAATTCACCTAACGAGTCCCACGATGGTCAAATGTCTGATCACTAAGTGAATACTGGATTAATTGAAGTTACGGAAGCATGGATGGCGGTGGAAGATTCAATGGACAACTCGTCGTTTCGGAGGACTATGACTGAGGCACACTAAAGAACAGAATCAAAAATCTTGAAAGCTCTCAGGACCCAATGATCAATATTTAGCTATTCAAAATTTATATCACTTTTATCGCGCCTTAGTTCTTATTATTAGCTCAAGACACCGAGAATTTCCCCAGTGTTTTTGTAACTGCTACTCCTTCCCGAAAATATCCAGAAACTTTTGAGTACGGCTTTTTTAATTTTTCTGTCTACCCCTAAATAGTTTATGGACATTTTCATTTTGATATATGAAAGGCATTAAAATACTCTGTAGAAGTGGTAACAGCCCTTACCAGGATTAAGCCAATCTCTTACGCGGTCATAAATAACGTAATATATGTAATAGCATCCAAAATAGGCCTTGTCATATAATCCAGGTCTCATATAGCCATCAAAGCAAACAGTCCACAGACCAATTCTTTGAAACTGACTTCTTGCCTCCGGCACTGACTGTATCCAGTAAGGGGAAACAAATGATATGAAATTCGAACAGAACCCAGATACAGTGAAAAATACTAAAGTTGAAAAGTGTCTATTATTTTCCATTTTATTTCCAACAAAAACAGGGAAACATGTTGAATATGTGCTAATCTAAGTAAACAGCATTAGTTGATTAAAACAAATCAATGATATATCCTACTCACAGGTAGGACCTTTGTGACTACTCCTTGTAATAAGCAGCTCAGCTGAACTAAAAATGACTTGTTTTCCTGTAAATTAATTCACTTTCTGTGTCTTCGATGAATATTTATGCCATTCAACTTTTACACAAAATCAAGTTGAGTACTTTCCTTAATTACTTAACAGAATTGGCATTTCATGAACCCCTAAAGGAAGGATTAAAAATATGGAAATATTAAGTAAATTTTAAAGTGAAAGCAATTTCAAATGTCAGTGATGATAAGTAGTTGTCAGGTTAGTAGACAGTGTGCAGTCAGAATACTACAGGATTTTTTCCCAGAAAAGTGTTTTTCTTAGTGGATTTCCTGTAGATCTCATTGCTGTCCTGTAGATGCCTTGATGTGATCTACTAGAAAGGTGACCAGACGGATGTAGTTAGCTAACGATTTTTATGAATCCTTATGTTTAGCAGTCCTGTGGAGGTCAAATTTCCTTTTCGAGTAACCAAACACAGTCATTAATAAAATATGATTCAGTGGATCCTCCTGACAGCCCATAGTTTCAAGAAAGAGGCTGGTTCCCAAATTATGACGACTATATCGTGGTTTCCAGCTCTTCGAACTCATCGTAGGTCGCTCCATTTGTAATTCGGTATACGTTGCACCGACAGGAATTCTCATCTCATTCTCGGTGGAAGCCAGTGGGGCATGTTATTTTAAATTAACGCGTTTATTCCCCGGTGGTAACAAATTAACCCGTGAGTCACTAATTTCAATTAGGGTTATGCTGCCATGATATGCGGTTGGAGTTAGCAAACTGACATGTTCAAACTATCCCCTTTGTGATTATTATTCTACGTTTGGGTTCTCTTTCCTGTTCTCTGTAAGCGTCTACAGCTGGATGGCTCCACGATTTCCCACAGGCTTTCATCTTCTCCGTATAATAATATGGCCTATGCATTATGGCAGAGTATAATTCCATTATGTATAAAATTTATTTTGATATAGTCACACGGTGTTATGCAGCAATATCTACTGATGACAACATTAAGAGCACAATTTATCCTCGCTCACACAATTTTCTGACTTCTTTCATATGATTCCATAATTTCCACGCATTTCTTGATTTGATCGGTAGCAGCATTTTCCATATCTCTGGTATTGGTGATCAGTCGTTCCCATTGCATGTGTCGGTTGCAGTGGATTCGATGAACAAAGGTACAGTAATCAACCCCTGTCTATGTTACTTTGTAGAATATTGACTCTCTCTCACCGTCTTGTGGGATTGTGTGTCAATACACAGAGAAATTGCTGGGCTTTTTTCTAAATCACAAAACAGTATCCATTACCCGACTCCCTGAAGAAATGATGACTATTTTTTGCCCTCATCTACTTTCGCTAACTTTTCACTTCTGACTATACTGAAGTTTTGCAATCACTAAATGACTGCTTACGTGGACGCGGTTGTTAGTTTCACTAGTCAGTCAAAACCACTTAATTATTGGAAAACGTCAGGCACTTGTTAAAGAAGAACTCACTCCTAGTCAGACGCGAAAACAAAGCCCCTACTTCCCTTACTATTGACGTTTCGAGTGCAACCATTGAGACAGTTTGTTTTCCTTTTGAAAACATTGAACCCTACCCACTGTTGTTATATCAACTTTGATAGAGAGCTACTAGTCGTTTGTTGGACCATCAAACACTCCAAAATTATGCTGAAGGGTTCAGTTTTCAAAATCTTTACTGATTGTTCAGCTCTAACGGGAGCCTTGTCAGCCAAACAAGATTACTACTCGCCTTGTGAACCGTGAAGCCTTGAGTTTATATCTTTGTTAACCCGAGATAGTCTACAGGTAATGAGTAACAACAATGAAGCCGCAAATACTTTGTCACGCTCGCATATCAACAACATTGTGTGCCCGATTGTCGACTGCGAACGTCTTTCAAACTTATAAAAAGATGGCATTGAACTAAATGAGATTGTGTACTCAAAAACAACGTCCTTTGTATTCATATAAATTCTTTCTGGCACATAGAAAGTTGTTTGTGACACTTCTATCGTTGAATGCCAGCCTTATGTTACTGCAGCTTTGAGGCGTAAATTTTCTGAGAAATAGCATAATCAGTCACATCCCGAGGTCAGTGCTACTGCAAAGCTGCTAAAAAAAATCTACATGGCCAAATATTACCAGTGTTACGTCTTATATTGAACCTTTAAACATTTCACTTGCGTTTTGTGTTACCCAGGTCGCTTGTGGTTTAGTGGATTTTGTACAGTTTTTATTTGAATACATGTATGTGTTGATCATGACCCAGCCTTTCGTGTTCTTGGCGTTTGGTTTTTCACGTTCATATGAGAAATTTTGTTCAATAGAAGAATAATCTTACAGTCCTTCCTCAGTCCGGTTCCAGTATAATTCAAATTGGAAACTTTGGTTTCTGTTCAAAGACTACAGGTTTGTCTATTCATGAGGTTATTCGTGCAGCTGCTGCATCAGATAACCATGCCAAAATCTGGACGCGAAATTGTTGTCTTGTCAAAGAGTCGAAATGGTTTTTCACCTCAAATAACCAAGTTCCACGTGACATGACTCATTACATGCAGCCATTAATGCAATGCATAAACGAGTTGGAAATATCACCTGCAAGACGCCAACAACGACCGTCATATATCCTGCTACGACTAATAAACTTCACTCACGTTTTACGCAGACGGAATAGAGCCCAGCGACAGCTGCAACCAGCTCGTGATTATCTGTCTAAGGTTCTAGGCGTGAATGACAAAGTTATGTTGGTAGAACGATCGAATAAAGCAGTGGCCATCATTATCATTAGAGACCACGTTCTCTCCTTGAAGCAGCTGTCGAGCGCACAAGTTTCAAGACACAGACGTTTTGTTACCCTACGCCTAAGCACCGTTTATAGCTGCTCGTTTTGAGGGTGAAGTATGAGTTCCCGCACCTCTCTTTTAGTCTGATAAGGTAACTGAGAATACATGTCCCCATACTCGGTGAAGTGAAGTGTCTGATATTTTAAGCCCATTACTGAAACTAAAAAATGGAACCCATATAGCCAGCTCTTGCCTCGAGGGAAACTTAATGCTATGGCAAGAGCTCAGAGAAAGGTCACCGCTTTGATTCTTGGTACGACTAATTTATCACGCGGTAAAAGATTACCAATTTACATCTTTTTCCGTCTCATACCGTAGGAGTATTGGCGATCACATTATGGCTTTGAAATCCCCAGAAGTGACAGTGGACTCGAAATATTGTGTTTTCTCCCCACGGGTTTCGAACATCTTAGATGACATAGAGTTCAAAAGTCAAGGTGTAGCTCTATCACCCTGGGTTACTGGCCCTCCAACAGAGTCATGAAATCTTGGAATGGACTCCTAAAAGAACTGTTATATGATTATGTGATTATAAAGAGATCAACAAAGACCCAAGACCTTATATCCCTGACTAAAATATATGAATCTGTACATTATCACTACAGTTTTGTTTGATGTGTATATATATCTCACCACATTTAAAGCATCAGTGTAGTTTTTCAAGCAGTTGGCCTAATTTAACCTTAATTTAAAAACCATGTAATTATAGGTTCATGTCAAAGCGAAATGAGATCTTGACTTGTTTTGTCAAAGCAGTGGGATAAGCACTTAAGGTCATCAATATTTAGCGGTGACAACTGTGTAAATGGGTTTGCTAACGATTTTAAAGAAACTCAAGCAGAAGGAAAAGGAAATGAGAATACTTCTTCTGTAAGTCTTTTTAAGAAAAAACGTTTGAAGGTCGCACGAGTGTGATGTGATAAAAAAACTACTAAAAAGCTGGTTGACTTGAATATCCCGGTTATATATAACCAGAAAGTTTAAGTTAAGAATATTCTTCAGCAAACTTTCGAGTTCATTGTAGACAATTAAGACGGAAAAGCCAACAAAAAACTTAAACAAACGTCCTTAATAATGAAATATGTGTACCAGAAGCTGCCAGTATGTTTTGAGTGCTTGTGCACAGGGGAGACCTCATCACCGTCTACCAAATCCTAAATGACCAGGCCCACCCAAATAAAACCATCCTGCTATTAAGTGACTATAGGCTTCCACGAGGTAACCCGCTAAGGATAGCACACCAGAGACCAAAGACTCGAGTGCGATCACATTTCTTTTCGCTTCGTGTTTGCCGTCTCTGGAACGCGTTACCGGCGGCCGTGACTACAGCGCCTTCTCTGGAGATTTTTAAGCGGAAGCTAGACAATCATGCAGAAATGCAAGGTTTGTGTCTCAATGGCTTATCCCCATAAAACTTGAAACCACACTGTCAATGGATAAGCGTACAAACTAAATCCCCACGACCTATTCTGCCTTCTCTCACTCTATCTTTTCCTTAGGTCACCTTTATTATTCCACTTATCTCAACCTATATTATCTACACTACAACCCATTATTTTTATTCTTATTATTATTACTACTATTCTGCTCTTATGACTACACCGAATGACCAACGGGAGTTAGGTCAAACTCCATTCACGGCAGTAATACAGTCCTAACATACTGCATACTACAAACCACATCTCGACCAATCCCTGCACCACTCCTCCTGGAGTCTACCAGAGCTAGAGCAGTCGAGTGGCGGGACTTACTACGCAGAAGCTCACCGAAGATCTGGAACCTCTACCTCACAATCAAGAAGCGAGCTCAAAGAAATCACTGGTTTATACTAGCTCGTAATCAGGATATTGGATATTGTTGAGTTTTTCTGAAATTTGACTGAATTTATGTATTCCATCTAACAATAACTATACAGCAAGGATGCTTACGTATTTTTTAAATTATTTCCTCGTAATTTACAGGCAAAAATAAACCATAGAAAATTCAAAGTTGTCAAAACACAAGCAAACACGGTGTGCGCTTCTCGAAGTGTCTGCGATGCATCCGCTGTAAAATAGTAACCCAAAGGGGACATAGGTTTAAATACTGAAATGCCTTGTTTATAAAAATTCTTGGTATAACTAGTTTATAATTCAGGTCTGGATTTAGGTCCATGAATGATTTGTTCACCATTGAGTAAGTTCTGTTATTATTATTAGTATATATATATATATTGGCCGTCTGGTGTATTCATCTGTCATATATGCCTACATTTACCATTCCTGCCGTACACCAATAGACCTGATCCTAACTGAATTTAGTGCCAGTCACGTAGAGACGGGGTTAGACTGTTTGACTGGTTGAGGCCCTCGAGGTCAACTTAAAATCAACTGCTGAAGACTGTTGGTGTGATATAACTGGAAATCGGTCTTCGTGGTGGAAATACATCTACCCTTGCGGATGATAAAAATAATAGGAATAAATAATACCAACTCTAAACCTAATCTTATTCCTAACCTTAACCGTAATTGTAGCCATGGTCGTAACCTTAATCTCAAACTTAATCTTAACCTCAATTAGCTGTTAAAACATTGTCCATACAGTACTTTGAAACCAGATCTAGATGAAAGTTCTGGCTTGATTTATGTGGAGAGTTCATGGGGACACTACAGTAATAGTAAGTCTCGTTATCCAAAGAATAGTATGCTTTCGAGGTCATTGGAATGTTCACACTCCTGGATCGTTATACTTTGACTTGGCCTCTCGCAAATCCATTAACTTCTCATACGTTTCTCCGTATTACTATTCTTTCTTTCAACCTTACATTTCTACTTGTTGTTCTTTTAAATATCTTTTTTCCCTTTTATCTACTTTTGTGTTACATGCAGTAGATCTTTTTTTATCTATCAACTATTTAAGTTCTCGGTAAAGAAAGACAGACAGCAGGGTATTTATGCAGTTTGGATTGGCTTATAGAGCGTGTGGGTGCTGTATACTGTTACGAGCCTAGCTGCAGAGATGTATCTTTTTGTTACTCCTTTCACTCTCTTGTTAATCCTTTTTGTTGCTGCTTCTTCTTTGAATAGCAGACAAATGGGCACTTTCTTTTCAGCATTTGGATGTTTCTTCTTCTCGTCCTTTTCTTTTCTGTATTTTGGATAAATTCCTTTGGATACCCATTTTCCCTTGAACATTTTTCAACAAAGCTTAATTCTTCCACCTTGTTAAGTGAACGTAACTTCCTAACTGTGTCCTTACTAATTCGCGCTTATACCTTATAGGACACAAGCAGTTGTAGTGAAGGTATTGTCCGGCCCGGATTTCTTTTCTGTAGACCTATTTTAACTGTATCGTCGTTCCTTCTTCTTGCATTAAGGTCCAGGAAATTGAACTCGTTATTGTGTTCATACTCCATAGTGTTCATTGTGCAGCTAAAGAGAATTCGCCGAAAAAGGGAGCCTCTTCACTGAAGTACGTGGTTTGTTTCCATCGTTAAGATCAGACTTCAGGTCAAAGACTCGGTGACTGTCGACAAGGAGGGGCGCTGTGGGTGGCCTCTTAACCACCAGCCTACTTCTTTCTGGTTTTCGGGGTAGTAAACGATAAGAGAATAGGAAATTTTAGCAAAGAATATTCTTTTCGATGATTTCTGGCGACTGTATATTTGTATATATATATATATATATATCCTAGAATAATTGTCATTAACATTGTTAATGTGGTTTTCAAGTAATATCGATTTGTTGAGATCACAATGGAATTACCACAATTCAAGAAAGGTGCATAAGTTATAATAAACATAAAAATGTAATAGTGAATTATTATTATTGTCTCCTTTAGTTTCTAGAGGAACGTAGGGCTTCAGCCTCACATCTCCATTGCATTCAGTTCCCTGCCAACGTTTTCACCTGGTTCCACGTCTGCCCATATGCTTTCATCTCCTCTTCGCATAACCTCCTCCATGTCACCCTCGCAGTTACGACCAACTCGCTGCTTCCCATTCGGGTTCCACTCGAGAGTAATAGTAAATGGAGTATCAAATAAAATTAAGGAAGTTGCTACGAAAAATTAAAACCGTAATTGGGGGCCGAGGTAAAGGAAGTCTGAACCAACCAGCTTGTTCTTTTTGATACATAGGCTAGGCTTCTTAATGCAGATTCCAACAGCCTCAGTAATATGCAATAGAAAAACTCTTGGGGTTAAATTACGTTGAGTCGTTATGTGGTGGATGATTTCAAAGGCCTTGTTTACATTAATTTTATGCACTCTACCGACGGGATGAGGTAATATGGAACCATGAGTGGACTTCGTTTATTCCTTACTAAACTACTATGCAGGATGGTGTTCGAAAATTCAACGATGAACACGACTAATTGTACGGTCTGTATAACTAATAGGCGTCACAGAAACAGTCAAATAGATAGAAACACATAGTAGAGGCAAAATGAGATAGTTTATCTTTAACTCCCAAACGTGAAATAGGGGTAGTTTTGAAGCGGCATTGAAGGTTCTTACTCTGCAACCATTTTAATAATAATATTAAGCTCTTCATTAAGACATTGATTTATCAGAGCAGATTGCTCTTGATCTGTGGATCAAGCACTTTATTAGACTGCGTTTGTATTTCAACAGTATGAAGCTGAAAGAATGAGTATACTGACCAGTTGATATAGGTTTTCCCCGTACACTTATTGTACCGTAATGTTTTCTAGTTTAGAGATGAAATCTTAATTTTTTCTTTCTCGATGGTAAGATTTATTGCAGGATGGGCATCGTTAAACTTGACAAAGACATTCTTTGCTTCATCCTCATTTTTAATAACCAAAAATGTGTCATCCATATAACGAACAGTAGAATCATCGTTCATCCATCACATCTTTCAAATAATCACTCTTTAGTGTAGAAAGACAAATGTCGGCTAGAATTAGTCCTAGTGATGACCTCATCGCCACACCATCAATTTGTGTGTATACTTCTTTATTAAATAAAAAGTTAACATCAATTGTGCTTACCAAAAGAAGCTCTTCTATAAAAGATATAGGAATGCTGACATCTATATCTTCTCTAATAAATCGTTCACATATGAAGTCTACCCTTCCCATAAGTAACAAACAGTCACCATCATTATTAAGAGAAATATTAGAGATACCATCATTTTAATTGAGTTAAGTAGCATCTCATTTGGAATACAGTTGACACGTATGAGGATGTCAAAGTTAACCAGGATCGGGCAGAATAAGACAACCTTTCATAATACTCCGAAACCAGTGTGCAGATCCATATGTGAGCATTTAGTATAATGGCAAAAGGGTGAAGTTCAACAATAACGTCCCAGGAGTGCGAATGCTCCAATGACCTTGAACGTATGCTAGTCGCCGGCTAACAGCACCTGTCATTATCATAACTGAAATATGAACCTTATTCACCAGCTAAGCAGAAAATTTCAGCCAGATCACATTTTTAAGTACTGTTTCGACGGTGTGTTAATAGGTCGTTAGGGCTAGGATTATAATCCTTAACCCTCTATAGGGTTAAGATAAGTACTGGGTTAGGGTTAGAATTACGATTTGGATTGGATTGTGGTTACGATTAAGGATAGATTTCGATTTGATGTGATTTATTTTAATTTGTTTTGTTACCCAAATTTTCCTGGTAAGTAGTCGTCAATCCTTTTTACTGGAAACCATAGTAATTCAACCGAGGGCTTTGAGGAAGACTGCGCAACAGGATAAGAGAGATGAACGATTCACAAAGACAGCTTATCTTCAGTCACTTCGGTGAATACATGTACGGAAATTAGTCTAACTTAGCAACTGATACCCCTCATTATAACTGGGACGCATTTTTAAGTCATGTCAGAGAAATATATGTCGTCTTTTTTGCGAAAATTCTGATATGTGTCCACATGATGTGTGTTTTGTTTTTGACAGTCTATTATATTTTGCTATGTATATATGGATCTATATTTCATTATAACTGACAATATGCTTCTGTCTGTCCATTAACTAAATAAACATGTATGACCTTGTTATCATATGACATTACAACCAATCATGGTAAGATGACTGTCTTATTGGTTTACGTGTATTAGTCATCTCCATATATACTTTTCTACTGTATTCTTGTTCACACACATTTCGTACATCTAAGTACCCTTCCACTCAAACACTTGTGTGACACTTATTTTCTTGTCTGGAAAATACAAGTATCACCGTAAACCTGGTGGTCTTCTGATTTCCCTCTTTCCGAGTGAGGACTATTAACTACTCGACGAGTACGCAACAAATTCCTCATTTTTATGATTGGCTGGCTGAAGGTCACTCGTGCGTTTGCATCTCTTGGGACGCTGTTGTTGAACTTTGCCGGGAAAAGATCTGAATGTTCAGCGCTAATGTCCAGTCAATTCCACAAAGGGAAAAACCCAACGAAGCTTGTGAGGAGTCCGACAAGGTTAGCTGCCTACTATCGTTCACGATGATATTCTTTTCGAATTTTAGTGAACTGGATTATGACGCAAATCATCGGGAAAGGGGAGTGAGAAGACTCTAGGAGATCTGGATTTCGCGTGGACAATTTATGTCTAATTATCACACAACATACTCGGAGATCTACAGGTGGAAACTAACTAATTTGTCAGAAGAGGCTGGCGGCAATAACACAACGTGTGAAAGTGAAAGTAGAGAAAACTTTCTTTTGTCTTCTAAATGTCTGAATGAACATTTTCGCTATATAAGACAATAATTTATGTGCCTATAATGTACCAAGTTTTTCTAGAAAATTGCTGATTTTTTGGGCTTTTTCTTTTAAAAATTTCCATTTTCTCTTAAGTGGTCTAGATAATGCTGGCAAGACGACAATCGTGAAGAAATTCAACGGTGAAGACATTAATAGTATCTCTCCAACTCTTGGATTTCGTATTGAAACATTGGAGCATATGGGGTATGCAATTATGTTTAATACCCTATCCTCTTGCTTAATTATAACAGATTCAAGTTGAATATTTGGGATGTAGGCGGTCAGAAGTCGCTTCGTTCCTATTGGAGAAATTATTTTGAAACGACTGATGCATTGATATGGGTCATTGATAGCTCAGATTGTCTACGTCTAGAAGATTGTCAACAGGAGTTGGCTAAACTGTTGATGGAAGAACGTCTAACTGGGGCTACCCTGCTTGTCTTTGCCAATAAACAAGTGAGTTTATTGTTTAGAAAAGCCACTTTGATATACTTTATTGTCAAGTATTTGAGCGGAGAAAGAACAGCAGACATTGGTGCAGAATACCTAATATGCATTCATTTTATTTCATTGGTTCATCTCATCAGCTGTGTACAATCTGTAATCTTTAATAAATATAAGTTTAGTGTCCATCAACAAGCAAGCTGTAAGAGCTTCATATTGAGATAAGACATTTTTTGATTACAGCTTGATTCCACACTGTACTTTTGGTACAAGTATGGAATTTCCAGCATGTGATATCAGTAGCCCAAATGTTGCAGGCCGACCATAGATATTAGGTGTGCGTCGGCAGGGGATCGAACCTTGAACTATGTGCATGGTCGGCGAGAGTCCTAACCACTGTGCCACCGATGCACATCAGAATGATAAGGTAATTGAGGTATTACAGTGTAAATATGTGTGTGTGCGTCTATTCCTAACTTTGATGAAGACTGAATTCTATCAGTCATGCTTGCAATGTGGCCACCATGATAGGTGACTCACCATCACGGTGCATTGTGAATTCTTGGTATTAGATGGTTGGAGGCAATCGGCAGGAAGCCTTGGACCTAGGTTTTGTGCTAGTTGACAGATTCGTTGTTAGGGTTGTAAAAAATATTAGTAACAATTACGTAGTTAGATGAAAGGAGATCGAAATTCGGTGTTTAAGAAGTGATGATGTAATATGATAAGTAGAACTCATGCGGTGACGAAGAATCATCTCCTATGGAAGTCAAGCGGAAAAAAGGTGGGGGACAAAGATCTATTAAGAGATAAGTCACCAGGGTAATTGAAGTTCAACACCAGATTCCTTTTGGACACAAAGGTCAAGTTTCAGCCGCTTTCTTGCGATAGCTTCAGTATACTGAGAAAAGACTTGAGTTATTTTGAATGATGCTAATGTATCTACTGGGCGTTGGCTGGAGCCAGTTGGTGGCGATATGGCTCCAAAATCCTAGTTCTCAATGATGGCGCAAATCTATTCACTCTTTGTGTGATTTGTCATATCATCCAATAAAACTCTATTGTGTTCTTCCATATTACTACTATTCTTTTTCTCTCACTAACATCTCTGTTTATTACCCCCTCCCTCTCTTTTGAATCTCTCTTTATACTCTCTCTCTCTCCCTCTCTGTAATCTCTTGCTTTGTGTGATACATGGAGAAGTGCGGCAACTCGAAGTGCTGTACAACGGTGCAAAGCAGTTCTATGCTGAAGTTAGTCAATGAGTCCTCGTTTAGGACCCACTAGGGTTTGAACCCAGGACCTTCATGTTTCATTTACAAGGCGAGCTCGAAGACCGTTCAGACTCACAGTAATGGAATGTGATCCAGTGGTTGGCACATGAACACCAACTTCTTATGATTCTATATATACTTATGTGGTGCAACCGCTTCCACCCAATGTCATCAGTGGCGAGTAACTGTTCTTCTACTTGACTCCCTGGATCCCGCTGTTTGGCAAAAGTTGGGATTCATGGGTCGTTGGATGGATAGGATCCCAATAGCTAAATGATTGTTTACGAGCTCCTCACCTTGTAAACCAAAGGTCCTGGGTTCGAACTCCACTGGGTCCTAAACGAGGAAAAAGTAGCTGTCCATTACTGCACTATTGGTAGTTTCCATCGGTTCTCTAACTGATGTTTGTTTTTGCTCATGAACAATCAATCCCACCTGTAAACCTACACTAGTTGGTGCTCTAGTGAGCACCAACTAGTGTAGGTTTACAGCACCAACTAGCACGCATTGAGACCTTATACAAGAAGTAATTACCTGAATTTCTAGTGCGAAATCGTATTGTAATAACAACATAAGACAAGGACCAGGCGACAGATCGTTTACTGAGAAAATCAACAGATATTTATAGATTTTTATGTACATTATTATTCGCCATTATTAGCAGCGTCTTCTGATTGGTCGTTTTCTCACTGGAAGTTATTCTGTCATCTCTTTGTGGCCGTTTCTTTGAAGGTCAGACCATATATCCGCCCACGCGAAGTCTGCCGTTATTGGTTGTTGAGTTAGTCTTTGTTCTTGTTCTTTTCTCATGACCAAGATTTGGGACGTAAACATTGACGTAAATTTCGGCTAGCAGACAGCTCTCGCCACAGTATGACCATTGGGATCCACCAACTCGTCGTTAGATAATGGGAGTAGTAACTCGCCAAGGCCGTTGGTTGAAATTTGCGCTAAATATTTACTTTAATAATAAATATAACCCAATTACCAAAAACCATAAACCAACTATGATCGGTTGGTAGGAAAACTGCCACTGCTTCTGGAACACTTGTCTAGACTCCGATCACAGTCTTATAGGTGCACTTATATTTACCTGCGATTTTGAAAGGACATAGAAGGTGTTACACGCCCAATTCGATCAGGACACTAAGTTCCTCCCTATTCAAGGAAGAAATCGCTAAACTTGTATCTGAGATTGACAGCAAGAGTACTCATCTTGAAAAAGGAAGTCTGATTAGAAACAGCAGTAGCGGCTGTTGACAACCTAAAATCAAAGGTCAGAAAGTGTCAATGGATTTCGGCTGTTAATTTTATTATTATTCTGTCGTTGGGTTTCTAATGGAACACATACAGCTTTAACCTGAGCACAGTTCAGAAATGGTGGGTTAGATATCGTCCGCATAGGAAACTGATACACTGGTAAATAATTAGACTAGACTTTAATTCATCCTATCCAGAATCCGTAAAGGAATATAGATTTAGTTAAATGTCTGCATAATCAAACCAGGAACCTAACTAACTAGTAACCCAGTAGATTTAAATAAAGGAATTATTCAAGTATTGGTTTGTAGGATTTGGTTGATTGGTTACAGGATTTCATCATGAGCTGATATCAGTTAGAAAACCATTGGAAAATCTGGGAGTACTGGATAGCTGTTTCGTCCTAGTTTGGGACTCTTCATCAGTACGCGCCCACCGGGATTCGAACCCAGGACCTTCTGGTCGCAAGGATAGTGAGCTCGTATACCATTAGGCCACTGGGACCCGATCCAACGGCCCATGAATTCTAACTTCTACCAATTCACGATATGGCGCAACCGCTAGCCAATGTCTTCGGCGAGTATTTGTTCTCACACCCGACCAGTAGGGTGCAGCAGGTCGGGTGGATCGGGTCCCAGTGGCTTAATGGTATACGAACTCGCCTTGTGACTAGAAGGTCCTGGGCTTGAACACGGGTGGGCACGTACTGATGAAGAGTCCCAAATCAGGACGAAACAGCTGTCCAGTACTCCCAGGTTTTCCAATGGTTCTCTGACTGATGTCAGCTCATGATGAAATCCTGTAACTAAAGGAAATATTACTGGCGAATAACTAATTACCGACCAGAATCGATTCAGGAATGTATCAAGAACCATAGAAAAAATGAGATTAGTAATGATAGGGATAAAAATAATATAGAAGTGTGATATATATCCATATAATATGTGTGTTTGTTTGACAGTCTGTTATATTTGCTAGGTATATATGGATCGATATTCCATTATAATTAGCCAATCATGTTAAGACTGTCTATTGATTTGTTCACACACTTGGTTGGACATTCATATATATTTTGCTCTCACACTATTGTGTGATATATAGTGATTCTCCTTGTGTTTGGAAAATAGAAGTATCATCGCAAACCTAGTAGTCTTCTGATTTCCGTCTTTCTTGCGTCAGGACTATTAAATTCTCGACCAGTACATAACAAAGTGAAAGCCGCATAGAGTAGGAACGTCAGAGGATCTACGACGTAGGGTTCTCAATGAGACTGGAATTAGTCGAGATGGCATTTAAACCAACCAACCGAACTTTGTCGTCTGAAGGACCCAATAGATCCTATTAAGAAGAACTGTGTATAATTTATCAAATACCATGAAATGACTTTTAGTGAGGTCAGTTACATCATAGGTCAAACTGTCAGTAGATCGGCGCCGATTAGATTATAAGGAAATGAAAATTTTACTAGATGTAGAATGATTTGCCTCCTGTTAAGTTAAATAACCTTGAAAAAATAGAATCCAGCCATTGCAACGCAGCATTCACTGGCATGTAATCACAAAATTTGGTTGAGTTAGTGGGATAAAGTGAGAGTATTAAAAAAGAATGTAGTTAGGTGGAGACAGTGACTGAGAGAGAGGCTAATCACTAAATCGTAGTTTGTCGAGTCGGCACACCAAATATGTGCAACAGAAACGACGCAACGCTTATACTGAAGATATGGAAAGTGGCAACAAACAACAAGGAGAAGAGGTGGGAGAGAAAATATAAATAAAGCGAATTCTGAAGACGTTTGACTAAATTATGAGTGGCAATAATTTATGCTGGAAACCTTGTCCATTCAGTTGTTAATACTGCATCATCACTGGGTGTGATATTTGAAATACACTTATCTAATATCGAGCACATCTCTTCCATTAATATGGATTTACATACTACCACAGCGCACATAAAATAGAGAACAATTGTACAGATACCTTCCAACTAATCATACCATTCTATTGGCTGTTAAAGTTCTCTGTAAAATCTTAAAAGATACTTCAATATCGATCTTGCTATTCATATTCACGGTACATATTTCTATAAACAAGGTTAACAGCCTTTCAGATGCCCCCATTCCGCCTTAAAGGCTTTCAGAATTCGACTGCTTTTTTATACAGCCAGTTTTAGCTGCATGGTCCTCAACCATTCATCTACAAAGAATGATTCCTTCTTTGTATGTTTGTATTTATGCACTATGCAGTGTGACGTAAGCATGTATGCAATGTTGAAATTTTGTAGCTGGGATATTTTTGGACAGGCTGTATAGCACATATTCTATAAATGACAGTTTTCACACTGTTTCAAAATCATTCTGTCTGTTTCCTTCAGGATGGGGAATTACGCGTAAATATCTGGAGAATCCTGTCTAACTCCCCCCACCACAATTGCAAGTGGGCTCTCATTCGCTCCTTCTCCTCCTCCTCCATGTCAATCTCGGATCGACCCACATGACTAACTCACCATTTCCCACTGGGATTCCACTCGAGCGAAATGGCCTGACGGACAATCGTTGTCACCCAATGTTGTCTCCTTATCAGCGACCCATCCATCCATCTATCCCTCTCTATTTTTCCTCCGATTCTTTTGATTGATTCGTTCCCTGATAGAGTTGCTTGTTACTGATTCTTTCTTCAGTAATATTAAGCTAGTGAAGTAGGCAACTGTTGATGTAAGTAGTCTGTGTAGCTGTTAAAAATGCTCTTTATGACTCCTCTGGCCAAGCTTCTGACTCCTACAGAAGAAATGACTGATTTAACATCTAGACAATGCAATAAGAGGACGTACTTTGTCTGAATTGTGTGGTGCATTGGCCCAACACTTGTTTCGAACAGCCTGATCACACCCAGACCTGTCATAGAAATATATATATATATATATATATATATATATATATGGCTAGGCATGAATAACACGTAGTACCGCAACCATCTCAGTCGGTGGAACTGCTTCGCAACCTCATCGATTGACTTCCCCTATTTACTTACCTAACACTCACCGTATCATACCATCTAACATGTGAGATGAAACCCAGACACCTATGATCGAAGACGACTAGCTAGTCCGCATTTTCATGGCTGCCATGTCCCACCCACAGAGAGAAAAGGGGACTTGGCGAACTGCTAGTGCTTCTGCTGTGCAGTACACATGTCCTTTGATTGATAGCTAGCATGCCAGCGAGCCGAATATTAGTCACGTCTACACCATGTCAGTGTTGTATGATTTCACCAACGCACTCTACTTGGACTCATGCAGCCAGATGAGGGCCTACGGCGAGTTGTCATCTGAAGTGGTGTCCGTCAGGGATGCCCATTATCCCGATTCCTATTCAATGTCATCATAGACGTATTAATGGACTTAACTTTAAGTGACTTCAGAGACTCAGGGATTGACTTGCTACCAGGGAATAATCTCGTTGACTTAGAACATGCACGCAATATAGTCCCTTTAGGTGAGGACGCTGACAAAATGCAGAGTCTTCTGAACACCTTGAGCTGCAATCTACGGATGTTTGACATGCGATTCGCTCTCGCCAAATACAAGATAATGTTACAGGACTGGACCACACTGACTCCTAGTTTAGAAATAGGGAGTGAAGTGGTAGAGCACGTTGACCGCTTCACTTATTTAGGAAGTACCATCAGCCAGTGCCAACGGTTTGATCTCCGACGAAATCTCAGCACGGATACAGAGGGCTAGTTTCGCATACGCCAGTTTACGCCGTCTCTGGCGTAGACGTGATATCCGGCTGGCTATCGACCAGAGGGCGTGTGTACTGCTCATCACTCCGCTCCCTCCTCCTTTATGGCTAACTGTGAGACCTGGCCATTGAGAGTGGAAGACATGAAAAGATTAGCTGTCTTTGTTCATAGGTGCCTGCGTTCTATCTCCCGTGTGAAGTGGCATAATTAGGTGAGAAATATTGAGGTTAGGCGTCGAGTTCTAGGTAAACAGGGGAAATCAATCGACGAGGCTGTGAAGCTACATTGACTGAGATGGTTAGGGCATGTGTTACGTATGCCTAGTCATCGCCTTCCTCAACGAGCAATGTTAGCGGATACAGGGTCAGGCTGAAAAAGAGCTGGTGGCGGTCAAACAAAAACATGGCACCAGTCAATGAAATCCACAACAGTTAGTTTAAGCCAGCCACGCAGGAAGGTGTAGACTTCCCGACTTGTAGGGGTCCTCGGGACGGTAAAAACCAATGGTTGGAAACAATTGGTGATATGGCTCAAAATCGTTCTCAATGACTGGCGCAGATGCATCCACTCCTTGTGACTTATGATTTCCAATCAAACTGTTTTGTTCTTCGTTACTACTATTCCTTTGTCTCACACCTTTATTTACTGTCTTTATTATTCTTTTCTTGTATTTTCTTCTCTTGCTTTGTGTGCTACATGGAGTGTGGCGACTTGAACATATGGCGCACATATGTGCAAAGTTCTATATCGAAAACAGAAAAACAGACAGTATGATTTCACTTGGTTACAAAAACAGTCTTTTAATTATTATTCTTTTTTGTCAATATTTATTTTAGGATTTAGCTGCATCGATGAAACCAGCTCAGATACGTGAAATTTTACGTTTGGATGAAATCACCACGCATCATTGGTTAATACTTGGTTGTAGTGCTGTGACAGGAGAGAATTTACTCGAAGGTATGAATTGGCTAGTGAAAGATGTCTCGTCAAGAATATTTTCATCGGATTGAAGATAGTCTGACGATAATGAGTTTTGATGACGTAATAATAATATCACCATCAACATCTTTTATGAATTAATACTCTGCTATTTCTCAAAGTTGTGAAGAATATTCTTCTCAACCTGAAGAAAATCAGTAATTATAGGTTGTATATATACTGAGTTGTTGTACAGCAAATGCTCATGTATATTTATGTTTGTGTGTGTGTGTGTGTGCGTATTTGAGTCTGTGTGACTGACTCAATGTACATATAATTAGAAATAAAATCAATATTATTACTACTATTATTTGAAAAAATGAGTTCCTCTTATGAATTTGCCCAACGCAATCAGAAGACGTAATTTGTCTGAATCCTGCTGTAATGTAAAAAATTATATTTGTAAAATCTCAGCGATATTGAAATGAGTAATTCCAACGTTTCGTTCGGCAATCTGGTCCGAACTTCCTCAGGGAAATTAATCGAAATTAACATAACAGAGGTTTATATATATATGAAAGGAACATCTCTTATTTTTAAAAACTTTGTCCAGTCATGAGTCATAAAACAAGTATAATAAACAAAATTGTATGAGTTGTGATCTCAGACTTACAAATATTGATCTACCTTTGTTAAACACAGTGTGTACGTGTGCGGATAAACAGTTGTAAAACAATGTATTGACGTCTCCATAAGTAGATATAGACAGTCAGGAACTTTGACCAAGTATTATTAGTTAGTGATACATATCCATTCTTATTTATTAATCAGGATTTCCTATGCGTCAGCTAACATCACACCTTTATGTCTGTTCAAACTGTTAGTATCTAGAATTTTTTATGATTAGACGTATTTTCAAAATTATGGTGTTTAGGATTAGAGTTTAGTTGAAGCACCCTGTCAAACTTATTACTTTGTCTTCTTTCTGAAAAAATTGAGCTGATTTATTCGACCTATTGGAGTTGTCAGTTGACTGGACAGCTACGGATTTAGGATACGCATTCTGTTGCAGACAACGGAGAGTGGAAACACGATGATTGTGCCAATTACATATAGTTTCTTTGTTAATTTAATTCGATTGCAAAATAAATCAAATGAACTGTAGTCAAGATTTGACAGAATAGTTCTAAAATATTTGGGCGCCGAGTAAGAAGTAGACATTTGTAAAAAATTATATTTGTGAAATCTCGGCGATATTGAAATGAGTAATTCCAACGTTTCGTTTGGCAATCTGTAATGTATTTGCTCAAAACTTATTTTAAACAATCTGATCACACACGGACTTGTCATAAGAATATATATATATATATATATATATATATATATATATATATATATATATGAAAATGATAAAGATAATCTGATACCTGCTAGTGACTTGCTACAGGATGGAGTTTCCTGGAGTTATAGTGGGAAGTCGTGACCAGTGAGGTCCAACCAGTCAAGTGTGAGGATGGATTTCCCACCGATGACATTGGTTGGTGGTCGCGCTAAATGCATCACGAATTGCCAGAAGTTAGAATTCATGGGTTGGTCATTTAGTCGGGTTCTAGTGACTGTATGGTATACGAGCTTGCCTTGTAACTGGAAAGTCCTGGGTTTGAGCCCTGGTAGTGGGTGCGTACTGCTGATAATTCCCAAACTAGGATAGAACAGTTCTCCAGTATTCCCTGGCGGTTGTCTATTTGATGTCAATCCGTGGTAAAACTCGTAAACATAAATCTAATCCTTACAAACTAACTCTTGAAAGAGTTGAAGATAGAAAAAATAGACTAAGGACAAGTTAAAAATAGGGTCAAAATAATCATGAAGATCAATAAACCAAAGAAGAGAGGGGAGGTAATAGTACGTCTGTTATGGTAACATCAAAACAAAGTTTACCAAGGAAGGTGGTTTAGTGTGGTGACGAATTGTTTTTGATGAAAATATAAAGGTGTTTGCTAGGGCTTTCTACAAACTTTAGGATATGCCCTCGTCCAAACGCATCTTATAGACAGGTTTAAAAGACGTTTAGAAATGTCACTTGTATGTCCTGTCTCTTCTATAATATGTTTCACAACAGTGGGGCTAGGTCGTCTGTTCTCAGCAATAATGGGTTCTGGAGATTCCACTTACTTCTGTAGCCATGTGGAAATATGCTCTGAAGCCCTTACCTGCAAAGATCGATAAGTCCTCCTTCTTGTGTATATGTATTCATACATGCATTTAAATTGGTAAATACAGTAGTATGTGAAATCATTTTTCTCATGTTCTGATGGTTTATATAGGTATATGAGCTTCACATTCTCAGTTATTGTTATGTAAGCTGCACAAAAAGTTTTTTAACGACAGTGTTCAGTCTTTGTCGAGTTAGCAAACTGCTATGATCACCCATGCGTAGGGAAGTGTGATATAAACGTCTTTCTTAGTGGGGAGTTGAACAGTTGGTCTTGGTGTTTTGACTACTTTATATCTCCTAATGAACTCAGCTGGATAAGAAATATTTACTTTTTAATGAGATCCTCGTATATATATATATTGTATAGCATTTTTATTACAATACACAACATTTAACTAATCAAGTGGTGATATGTTTAGTTTAACAATAATTATTAGGCAGTATGAACATACAGAGTCACGAATAACCTACCAAAGGCAATACGGTTTCGTCTCCTTTGTATCGCTGAAGCTCTGGCCATTCACATAGAAAAACCGGAGCTGTGCATACAAAAGAGAATTACTCAACCACTTCTACTGTCATGGTAACAACTTTGTTGATTTTGATGACTTAATTTTGTTTCTTTGCCTGTTCTTTAATTGCTTATAATTCTTGTATTCACTTAGATCTCTTACGTAATTTCGTATTCTCTTCTTTATTCCTATGGTTATCCTGAGTAAAACTCAATCATCAAACTATTCATATTGTTATGTAACTTCTTTTGTAACAACTGTTTATGACAACTCACCACCTTTGTTACTACCCTAATTTTAATAACACCTAATTTTCTTGACTGATTTTGTATTACGTAACTCCAACAACCAATCTTCACCTGTTTAGTTAAAATAACCATAACCATTATGAACATGTCAAACTCTGGGGTGAAGGTGGCTGGGTGATAATTGACGAAGAAAGTTAATACACGGATTTAAAGAGTAGGGAAATAATTTCAGCAAAAGTGGATGAAATCATGCATAATTCTGAAAAATAAAATTAGAAAAAGGGTAATCAAGAAACAAATGAGTCACACAATTTCAGTAAATTAAAATTCCGCCCAAAGTATAACCAGAACAAGATGATTTTGAGTGGACGATTGTGGTTTCGATAAATTCTGCATCAGGCTCTACAGTTATAAATCCATGATTATTATTATTATAATACAAATAGCCAGTCATTAAAGGCATGTGAAAATTATATCAGGAAATGTATTGGAGTATATGTGTAATATGCAGGGATAACTCGTTATTTAATAATGTTCAATGACCGTATATAAAAAATATGCAGCCATTCAGAACATAAGATAAAGGGTAAAATACTAAGGTATTTATAGTTAATCGAATATAAGTTTATTGTGAGGTGGGGGGTGGGGGGGGATGAGTTATATTCAATGGTGTGCGAGGCAAATCATTACCACAAAACACATACAAACCGATAGCAAAAAAATGGGGAACACTGAATGTAGTAAGTTCAAGCAAGGGCTGACAGATATCAAGTGTAGTGATAAAATAAAGAGATTAAACTGTGAAATGTAGTATAACACTAGAGAAATAATAAGCTTAGTGTAAATTACAAAAGGCTGACACGTAATAAATGGTCTGTCTGTCTGTTTTCGATATAGAACTTTGCACAAATGTGCAGCAGTTCAAGTCGCCACACTCCCTCCTTGTAGCACACAAACCAAGAGAAGTAAGCACAAGAAAAGCATAATGCAGTAAGCAGAGGAGTGAGACAAAGGAAGAGTAATAACGAAGAACAAAAAGTTTCATTGGAAATCATAAGTCACAAGGAGTGGATGGATCTGGGCCAGTCATTGAGAACGATTTTGAGCCATGTCACCAATTGTTTCCAATCATTGGTTTTTACCGTCCCGAGGGCCCCTACAAGTCGGCAAGTCTACATCTTCCTGCGTGGTTGGCTTAAACTAACTATTGTGGATTTCATTGACTGATTAAGCCATGTTTTGGTTTGACCGCCGCATGCTGTTTTCCAGTCTGACCCTAAATCAGCTAACATTGCTCGTCGAGGAAGGCGATGGCTAGGCTAGGCATGCGTAACACATGTCCTAACCATCTCACTCAGTCAATGTAGCTTCACAGCCTCGTCGATTGATTTTCCCTCCTTACCTAGCGCTCGGCGCCTAACCTGAATATTGCTCACGGAGATAGAGCGCAGGCACCTATGATCAAAGACAGCTAATCTTTTCATGTCTTCCACTCTCAGTGACCAGGTCTCACAGTTAGCCATAAAGGAGGAGGGAGCGGAGTGATGAGCAGTACACCCACCTTTTTGTCGGTAGCCGGATATCACATCTACGCCAGAGACGGCGTAAACTGGCATATGCGAAACTGGCCCTCTGTATCCGTGCTGAGATTTCGTCGGAGATCAACCCGTTGGCACTGGCTGATGGTACTTCCCAAATAAGTGAAGCGGTCAACGTGCTCTACCACTTCACTCCCAATTTCTAAACTAGGAGTCAGTGTAGTCCAGTCCTGTAACATCATCTTGTATTTGGCGAGAGCGATTCGGATGTCAAACATCCGTAGATAGCAGCTCAATGTGTTCAGAAGACTCTGCATTTTTTCAGCATCCTTCTAGGCGAGGTAATGGAGTAAAGTGAACTGAGTGAAAAGGAATAAGATGGCATAATATGATATGAAAATATAGGTGATTAAGTTCCTTCTGAACTAATAGTAGGCCAGGTTAAATAAAGAGGATGAATGTGCTTCTTTTGCACACATAAGTCAGGCTTTTTTCTTATTAATCTCTATAGCGTCCGCTTTAGCTAAGAGACATAATCGTGTTCGTCTAGGCAGATTCTTTGGTACTCCACATACAACCGTAAATCACTGACCTATTTTGATGTGGTGTTCACTATCTACTAGATGAGACAAGATGGCACTATATATTGATTTAGTTACACTTTTTCCAAGCCAAAGAGGAACATGTTCATGACTGCGTAAAGATAAATTCCTTTACGTTCGAGCTATATAACTAGCTCTAAATGAGCAGTTGAACATGTATACGCACACTGATCAGGCTATCTTTGGTGCACTGTTTCAGTTGCGGTCTGCTCAAGAAACTGATGTATAGTTATGCAGCACTGAATGTCCTTAAATCGATTTGATCAACCTACAGCTTGATATGTCACCTTTGAACTGTACTCTCAAATGAAGCTTTTTTTATTCAACGTATCACGCTTAATTTCGTCAGTTCGTTTGAAAATTTACTTCTTTACAAAATTGGTAGGGTTACCATTTTGTAGTAGGGTGTTTTTAAGATTTTCGACTTCTTCTTCTATTATTCAGACAACGAAGCAATTTCCGTTTATATTGTATGGCTATGAAACTATGGAAATGGATATAGTGTCTGTTGCATATCGCTTTTCTATAGAAGTTTCGCTTTAATGTAGCATCTGGTCTTTTGATAAGAACATCCAAAAAAGAAATACTTCCCTGATATTCTTCTTCGCAAGTGGATTGAATTGCTGGGTGCACATTATCAATGACCCGCATCAGATGTTGTGTATACAAATTATTGTCACAAAACGATGAATGTATCATCTATATTTATTCGTTGAAGTTTCTGTAGCGATTTGGTTGCTTTACAGGGGTGGAGTTGCTAGCACCACGCCCCAACCCTCCCTCTTTACCCGGACTTGGGACCGGCGAGAAAACTAGTAAGCTAGTAGCCTAGCAAGCTGGTATCTGGCTCAATACTGAAGATCAGATGGCCGGAAAGAATCACCAACAAGGAATTATGGGAGACCGTTGGGTGACATCGCGCGTCAAGCCCTCGAGTGGAACCCGAAAGGGAAGCGGCGTGTGGGACGTCAGTGCAAGGGTGACATGGAGGAGATCGTGTGAAGAGGAGTTGAAACAGTATGGAATAACATGGATGCAGGCGAAAAGTACAGCAGAGGACAGAAGAAAATGGAGACGTGCAGTTGAAGCCCTATGTTCCACTAGGAACCCAAGAGAGCAATAATAATAATAATAATCATCTATATAATGGCAATAATGTTTAAGTTTGTTTAACACTTCTCCTACAGGACCATTTTCTAATTTAGTTGGGAAAATGTTAGCTAGTAAATGACCTAGAGGGGAACCCACAGTGACCCCATCTATTTGACGGTAAAACTCCTTGTTAAATAGAAAATGAACATTCATAGTACATTGTAGCAACAATTCTTCTAATTTCATCGGTGTGACCCCGATATCTACTTTCTCTCTACTTGTTCGCATATAAAATCGACTGTTCCAATCAGGGGTACATTGGTAAATAGTGTCGTTACATCCAACGGTAACATGGTTTTGTCCGCTATATTCATATCCTTAATGTTGTCAACAAAAGCAAAGGCATCTTTTGTAGTGGCTCAGATAGATTTACCAGACGTTTAGCCGTTAAATGAAATGGTAAATTTGACGTATCAAGAATGGGACGTAGAGAAACTTCCTAGGTTTGAGTTCCGGAGGGGGGGAGGTTGATCGAATTGAATCTAGAACTGTCAGTTAGGTTTTCATCTTTTTGACACTTTATAGTCTTAATAAACTGGCGTTTAGTAGCTTCATTAGAGATCTATAAATATCTGTTGATTTTCTCAACAGATATTTATAGATTTTTATGTACATTATTATTCGTTAATGTTAGCAGAGAAGCATCATCTTCTGATTAGTTGTTTTCCTGCTGAAGGTTATTCTGTCATTCCTTTTTTGCCGTTTCTTAGACAGTCCGGTGATATATCTGAGACTCGTATCCGCCCACGCTAAGTCTGCTGTGATCGGTTGTTGAGTTCCTCAAGGTTAGGCTTTGTTCTTGTTTTTTCTCATGACCCCGAATTAGGACGTAAACTTTGACTTCAGCTGTTGTCTACAGCTCTCACCACACTGCTACACAACTTTTGGAACGATCTTTCAGTAAAACGTTCATCTTTTCGATATAGTCATTTGTTTTTCATGATCACTTTGCCGGAACCCTTGTTAGGTCTTGTGATTATAATACTGTCGTCTGATTTAAGCTTTCTGATGCATTCGCTATACTATGGGTCACATATAAAAGAAAAGATGTTTGGTGAAGAGTTGCTCCTCTGTTTTCGCCGATTTCATTCTCAAGCTGTACAATGGCATATATTATACAGTAAATTGTCTCATCAACAAAAGGAATATTTCTAGAGATATGTCATCAGAAATGTAAATCCACCACCTAAAGTAACAAATTACGTAACGTATAGAGCGCGTCGGTCAGATATATACTAAGATAAAATGAAATACATAAACTCAGTGATGTCATAATAATTGACGAGATTGAGTAAAGGAGTTCAACGAAAAATTGGACGAGAGTCAGTCAAGTGAATCAAATTAGTAATAAGAGGTGCGAAAATCCAACAGTTTGCACTGATGATTTTGGTCTAGAAAGACAAAGACGGCTTCCCAATCAAACCACCCCACTCAGATAACATAATCAAATCAAAACTAGATCTTTGCCCTTAATGAATAAACAACTACATAAACATATAGTATCAAACAGATTATATTTACATTATTTTTTATACAAAATAAATTTCATCATGAAGTTGTTAAGTCAAGAATATTTTTTGAAAGCAGATGAAGCAGCAGTCGAGCTGTATTCTTAGCATCATCAATCCCTCTATGCGGGCGACCTTCAAAACGCAATCCAACCAAGTGAAGTGCATCTTTTAGACCACCCCGCCAATTCTGTGCAACTTTATGAGAGCCAAGCCATTGCTACAAAGAAAGAAAAGAATATACTATTATAGCAAAACCAGACCAGAAAACCCAAAATAACCTAAAGTGCATTTAGAAAATGACGTTTTCTTTTCAAATCCCACATAGCATATACTTTCAAAACGTTAAAACTTATTTGACATACCCTTTGAACACTGAAACGTCTACGTCAAGAAAAGCTTAGTTGGTGAATAGTTATAAAGATTCTGTTGCTTTCGCCTAGAAGTGTGGACTAGAGTTGACGTCTAGAATGATTTTGGAAGTATTTTTCGTACTACTGAAAAACATTTTTTAGTATACACATACATTGTAATATAATTTTAATGACGATTCACGGTAAGTGCATATTCTAGGTTGGAAAGTCAACTTTCACCGAGTACTGAATGATACCAATAATTCAAGTAAGGACTTTACCGATATTCAGTTCATCTTTGGTTAGGTTAAAATTTAATAAACTTCCAGTAACTTAAAATAATATCTGATAGTTTTGTGGGATCTAGTACATCATAGTACATCAGTAGGCTTTGTGTACAGGGGCATAAAGCCCACTACAGTCACAATTTCTGCGAACAACTGCCGAATTTGACTGAAAGGTATCCAAACTTACATAGGACGGAGTCAGTTGGACTAGTGGAGCACATAAACCTGGCAGAATCTGGATTAGTTGGCACTAATATGATATCCACTCCCTCATATCACTACACACAGACAACCACGGACATCAATGCGACTGGGACAACGTTCAAATATTAGACAGAGGAAACAACAAGAATGCTAGAGAATTTTTAGAAGCTTGGCATTCCAGTGAATCATCAATCAATAAACACATAGAGATAGACAAAATTTATCAACCAATAAGAAAGAAACTTCACACACATAGGGTCAAAGTTCAAGCCAAAGAAACAATCAGTTCCAATACAAGTAACCTAGAAGATGTAAAAACACACATAAACAACCAATCATGTCCAAGGTCACCAGGAGAGATGATTAATAAACTCGTGGAGAAATCTAAAAGCTCACTTCAAATTGAAGTATGCGCTGAAGATGTCACCTGGTAGGGTGATGAAAGCTTAGCAAATTAACCATCCAGCTCAGGGAACAAAACCACATCAAAATCATCCACCTGAGCTGCAAATCTTCTCTATCATATCTAAGGCTGTATAGTACATATCTTATAAATGACAGATATTACACTGTTTCAAAATCATCCTGTCTGTTTCCTTCAGTATAGGGAATTACGCGTAAACATCTCCCTTTGGAATAAAGTAAAATAAAAAGGACTCAAATGATTACTGAGGTTTTTTTCTACTGAGCTTTGATGGCTAAATCAGAAACTTCGTACACTCATCCCCCTTTATGAAATATGAATAAAGCAAAAACCACGGCATGCAAAAAATACAATGGTACTTGCAAAGGTGATATGATGTCAGAGTTAACAGTACACTCCAAAATTAATAAGCAGTGCTCAGAAACTACCCTTACATGATTTGTATACAAATGGTTCACCTTTAAACGAAGCGAAATCCAAAAAACAAGTGTTCGAACATTACGGGGAGGGAGTTACGTAATAAAAATAAAAGGTGGATAAATAGATGGCAAGATTTATCTAGAAATCGCTTCAATATTTAAATGCAGTGGACTATAACACATACCTCTATGTTATGACGACTACTGCTACCGACTACCTGACTACTTTAACTTTGCTTAGTAGAAGAGGTGAACGAGATCGTGACGCCTAGGGGGTTGGAATTATAACATCTAAACGGATGAACAAAGGCCGTAGATATACACATATATATGAGATCTTACTAACAACATTAATTGGATGAACCTAGGAAAGTTAACGATAGCCGTTGTATTCTATTAAGAAGAAATCCTTTTATTTAAAAGGATGGGGACGAATTCTAGTTCAAGAGGATCTTTTATATATGATAGAGAAAATTTGTAGCTCAGGTGGATGATTTTGATGCGGTTGTGTTCTCTGAGCTGGAAAGTTAATTTGCGAATCAACTATCCAGCTCAGAGAACACAACCACATCAAAAAGAGGATCTTTTAGATGTTATTGTATGTTATGTTTAATTGAAAAGCATTCATTGTCCTACTAGAGAGCATTTTCAGAGTTAATTTTAGTGGGCAATTAAAATAGACACACACACACACAGAGGAACAAGACCAAGGAGTGATTCTTCCACATAAACATTTCTCAGCGATAAGAAAAGCAAAGTTAAATTTTCAAATAATACAGTATTGGAAATCAATACTTAATTACACACTGCCTACTTGAAATATAGCCTTCAGATCAATACGATTCAGCATATCACCAGGTAATGGAAGCTTTTTCCGTCGACATTCATCCCATAAACAAATACTTATATCCCAATCTAAGAACAAATTATAAGAAAAGAACATATTATGACAGATGTAAACAACGTATACTACAGTACAAGATCAAAAGAACAAATCCTGATCCACTTATTATGATAGAAAGCACAAAAAGCTAATATTAGCTAGAAGTGTGTTGCACAGAAGAGATTTCGGTGATACAAGAATGAGAGTAGCACTTGTTTTATGAAGCAGAGATAGAACTACGCAGTTACCGACGACTAAACAGGTAAGACGGGGTTTGAACCCAGGACACGTTGCCTGCCATCATATTCGAAGATAAATTCTTAATGCCCTAGTCCAGTTAGAACACGAATCTGTAGTCACAACATGATTTAATAATATCATAGCTTACTATAATGTCCTTTTTAGCCATTCACTAATATTATACACTGGATTTGAAATCATATGAATCTTTCTTTGATCACATGCTGAGAGTTCTTTTGCAGATGTCTCAACATCGAAGATAAATATTTGGAGAGGTTGTAAGTTGGTGAGTTGATTAAATTCACTACTAGTCTTTAATGGGACTACAGCTTTGTGTATCTTTGGTTGACTGTAGGATATTAGGAGTACATATGATTTCGGTCTCAGTTTAAACCAAAGAGAATTTCTAACTTTGGAATTCAATTGCTGAAAAAGTCTGTCCGTATTCAGTTTCGCTATGTTGATTTCTTCAGAAGACCTCTTCTTTTCTTCAATAAGTAAGGCATGCTATGTTGGATAAGTGTTCAATTGCTTTCTTTTCATAATCAGTTCTGTTCCCTTATCCACTTTAGTTATAACACTTTTCGTTTTTTTTACAAATACCATCGAGCCTGACAAATCTTGTTCTATCAGGCTTGAAGGTATGTTTTAAAAAGAAAACAGTGTTATAACTAAAGTGGATAAGGGAACAGAACTGATTATGAAAAGAAAGCAATTGAACACTTATCCAACATAGCATGCCTTACTTATTGAAGAAAAGAAGAGGTCTTCTGAAGAAATCAACATAGCGAAACTGAATACGGACAGACTTTTTCAGCAATTGAATTCCAAAGTTAGAAATTCTCATTGGTTTAAACTGAGACCGAAATCATATGTACTCCTAATATCCTACAGTCAACCAAAGATACACAAAGCTGTAGTCCCATTAAAGACTAGTAGTGGATTTAATCAACTCACCAACTTACAACCTCTCCAAATATTTATCTTCGATGTTGAGACGTCTGCAAAAGAACTCTCAGCATGTGATCAAAGAAAGATTCATATGATTTCAAATCCAGTGTATAATATTAGTGAATGGCTAAAAAGGACATTATAGTAAGCTATGATATTATTAAATCATCAACAGTCTTTATATAATTTTCATTGTACTGGAATCGAACACATCGAAAGCATTTGCTTCCCATTTACACTGATATCATCCACGTTAGCAATAAATTCTAGAACGTCTTTAAAGCATTACTGTATACCAATGTACCACTTATGCAGACTGTAATTCATATGCCAACAGATACTAGAAAAACAGATCGGCATCGGAATTCCAGTTATTAGTCTGAAAGAGTTGTTTTCAAGATGTACTATGAATGTACACTTCACATTCAACAACCTTACCACAGGCAAATCGACGGTATTGCCATGCGTTCGTCATTGGGGCCAATTTTGGGAGATTTCTTTCTTGCCAAGATTGAAAATGGTCCATTGAGACAAGTAATAGAGAAAACCGATTCTTATTTTCATTATGTTGATGATACGTTTATTATTCTTGATGTGAAAGCTGACAAGAATGAAATGTTAAAGAAGTTTAATGATGCACATCCACCGCTCATCTTCACTTGTGAAGAAGAACATGATAGTAGACTACATTTCCTTGACGTCCAATTGAGCAGAAAAGAGGATGGTTCACTCAAGAGAGATGTCTATAGAAAACCTACATCTGTAGGACAATATATACATTTCCTCAGTTTTGTACCAATCCGATACAAAATCAATTTGGTCAGATGCCTCACGAATAGAGCAAGACGTATCTGTACAGATGACTCCCTACAAAATGAGCTAGGATACATCCAAAATACGTTGGTCCAAATGGGTTCTCCTAGTAGATATGTAAGGAGACACATGAATGCCAAGTACAATAAAGAAAACCGACAGTAGTTAAAAAGAAACAACTGTTCATGAAATTGCAATTTAATGGGGACGTGGCTAGCGAAATCTTACATCAGAGATTATCGAGAGCGATAAAACGGACTTATACTGCCGCCACTCTCTGTTTGTCATTTTCCAGCCGACCAATTTTGATTGCTCAAGCGAAAGATAAGCTACCTAGTTGTGCCACTTCTGTGTATCTAAAAATTTAGTTGCTCCTGTGGAGAAAGCTATGTAGGGCGAACAACTAGACAGCTTAACAAACGCATTAATAAGCATCTTCCTTCATGGTTCGGAAAAGGTCAAATAAAATCCATACGAAGTTCTATTTCGGCTCATTTGATTGATAGCGGTCACCAAGTGGGCAAAAATAGTGCCTTCAAAGTTATCTATCGCATTCCAGTAATAATATGATTTAACTCACTCATTTTACCATGATAGAAAAAGAATCAAATAAAGAGGAACAAAACTAACCAGTCCAAGTGACGAAAATAGCTGTCGTTGTTGGTTGACCCTTGAAAGAACATCCCAAAGTCTCTTTAGTTCTTCGAAGCCAAATTTCAAACTTCTTTAAAACAACTCCCAAAGTAGGCGCATTCTCTACATCAGACTACAGGTAAATTTTTATTTTTGGTAATATTATTTATGACATGCCTGTTGAATACCAGTTAAATTAGAACAGAACACACTTAATTCAGGATTCTCTGTAGGTCTTACAAAACTCTGGAATGAGTCAATTATTGTTCAGTCACTGAATCGAATACGACAACAGGAAACTCAACTAAAAAACAAAATAATTGTATGCATTATACGCATTTGTGTATATGGATTTACTAATTTCTGGTGCTTGTCCATTATTCTCAGCGAAACATGTGGATTCAAAGTCTAAAACAAAAAACCATCGTAAATCTGATAGTTATAGGCTTGAATACACGTGTAAAGAAAGACAACGCACTATTTGTCAGATTATTATGTTTTTGTAAAGGTTTAGAAAACTTGTATAGGGAACCAATTCTTCTGAAAAATCAATGATGGACACAAATTATAACCTACAATAAGTACAAACTCACCTAGCTTCAGTGATTGTCTTTCTCATCCCAACGAGTACACTATATTAAGGCTTTCATCCATATATTATCCACCTAAATTGTAAAAGAAACACCTTTAAAGCTCACTAAGGAAAGATTAAAAGTTGTGTTGAATAAGTCGAAAGAGTTCAGTTGGTGTCTTCACTTGACAAACAACCTTTACAATATTAAAGATGTTAGATAGCTATTTGCTTTAGAACGTTAAACACCTACACTAAGAATTTACAAACTAATATTTGGTATCCCCATATAAACCTAGGAAAACTCCTAAAGGATAACTAGACCATTGAATTGACGTTGACTAACCAATTTATGTCATACGTTGTGATAAGTTTCTTTACAACGGTCAAGTACACCAAGTGCATTGACTTTAGTGGATGGAAACTTGATATTATATCCATAAAGCAGGCTTATCTTTACGCTAATTTGCTTGTTTGTATGAACGAAATGTTTCATCAGTTCGTATCGAGCAATCACCATTACAAAAGTCCTGCTTTATATACGACACCCTATCACAGTGCATCCATTATAACAGACGATGTCATGTAATGGAACTCCTTCGCGTACTTCCATTCGAATAATATTTGTTTAATATTAAGCATGAGCATCCTGGCACTCCTTCTACAAAGTAGGTTAGAGATATGGTTCACCTAATTCAGAAATTAGTACGAATGAGATTGGTAATTTGAAGAAAATACATAATTTCTTCCCATATATCAGATAATCTGTCAGTATATATATTTTTTCATATTTTATTATAGCTTGACTCCACACAGTATTTTTGATACAAATATAGAATTTTCAGTCTGATATCGTAGCCCAAATTTAGCGGGTCGATCATTAACATCAAGTGTGCGTCGGCCGGGGATCAACCCCCGGACCATGTGCATGGTCGGCAAGCCAACATACCTCAAAAAAGTGTACATGGAGATATTAAAGGAAACTAAGTTAAGAAACTAAAAGAGATCCAAATATATTAAGTCGGTTGTCAGCTCTAAGAAAGTGTGAAAATGAGTAACTTTTATCCAGCTTGAAAGCGATGAACTGAGAATTTCGGAAAACATTTTGATAAACAAGTGCCACAGAGAAAGTTCCGCAAATTATTGTTGCTTTCTTAGGTCTCACAGATAAGGCAGACGGTTTTGGTCACCAGCTATGACGCTGGAAAATCAATAAAACACGTGGTTAGTAGAATTCTACAGTTAAATCTAGGTATAGACGACACTTCGTGCAAGAAAAAACAAGAAATGAGAACTGAAAGCTCTCAGTTATTGAAATGTTAAATTCTAATGCTTTCTTTAAAGACATCATAGGAGCTAACCAACCAAAGTCAGCTTACTAGAATCACCATAATATGAGATGCTGAAATCTTTCCTTATTTTGCGAGACATTGCCGACGGCAAATTTCATTCCCATATACAAGAAGGGAGATTAGTCTTCCTGTGATAATCACAGAGGGATTAGCTTGACTAATATAGTATCTAAAGTCTTAGGCTCAATAATCATGCGTAGACTGAGTGGTGCTCAGGAGGCCCAAACACGAGAGGGCCAGGCAGGCTTTAGACCAGGAAGAGGGTGTATTGATCATATCTTCGCCTTCCGACAGATTCTAGAACATAGGCATTCCTACCGGCGTCCAACAATCATTGTATTTCTTGACCTAAAGGCGGCATTCGACTCTGTCGATCGGGAAGTTCTCTGGAGATGCTTGGCTGTAAAGGGAATTCCGAGAAAATATATTGCACTGATTAAGGCACTACTCGTACTCATACAGCCAGGTGAGTTGTCATCTGAAATGATGATGACTAGCGGTGTCCGTCAAGGATGCCCATTATCCCCATCTCTATTCAACTTCATCATAGATGTACTAATGGACTTAAACCTAAAAGACTTCAGCGACTCAGGGATTGACTTGCTACCAGGCAATAATCTCGTTGACTTAGAATATGCAGACGATATAGTCCTTCTAGGTGAGGACGCTGACAAAATGCAGAGTCTTCTGAACACATTGAGCTGCAATCTACGGATGTTTGACATGCGATTCGCTCCCGCCAAATGCAAGATGATGTTACAGGACTGGACCACACTGACTCCTAACTTAGAAATAGGGAGCGAAGTGGTAGAGTACGTTGACCGCTTCACTTGTTTGGGAAGTACCATCAGCCAGTGCCAACGGGTTGATCTCCGACGAAATCTCAGCACGAATACAGGGGGCTCGTTTCGCATTTGCCAGTTTACGCTGTCTCTGGCGTAGACGAGATATTCGACTATCGACCAAAGGACGTGTGTTCGGCTTAGCAGTCCGCTCCCTCCTCCTTTATGGTTGTGAGACCTGGCCACTGAGAGTGGAAGACATGAAAAGATTAGCTGTCTTTGATCATAGGTGCCTGCGTTCTATCTCCCGTGTGAAGTGGCATAATTAGGTGAGCAACATTGAGGTTAGGCGTCGAGTTCTAGGTAAACAGGGGAAATCAATCGACGAGGCTGTGAAGCTACATAGACTGAGTGGATGGTTAGGACATGTGTTACGTATGCCTAGTCATCGCCTTCCTCGACGAGCAATGTTAGCGGATACAAGGTCAGGCTGGAAAAGAGCTAGTGGAGGTCAAACAAAAACATGGCACCAGTCCATGATATCTACGACAGTTAGTCTAAGTCATGTAGGAAGGTGCGGACTTCCAGGTTGGAGTCCTCGTGTAATTTTTAGGTTAAACTTCAGTCGTCTAACCATAAGGGTTCCAAGTCGAATATAATACATCTGTCGTAGTAAGAAATACAAAGATTATCACCTACTAGACGTTTAGTAAACGCCCTTTGTAGACTTTCTAATTTGCATCTGTCTTTTACGGAGACACTGTCCATGAAAGGGGACAAAATTCAAGTAAGGGCCTTACGCACAACTTGTACAGCATAATTTTGGATTCACTAGTCTTTAAGTTTCGGAATAAAAATCCAAAGAGCCTTTTGACCTTTGATACTTGTAATTTAACATATTCCGTCAGGCTAAATTCTGGAGTGTATTTCAGACCCAAGTCTGTTGTAAGCGGCAGACGAGGAATATGTTTGTTGTGTAGGGAGATGGAAAGTTCAGATGAAATGCTTTTGGAGCAGAGCACACCACACTTTTCAACGTTAAACTTCATTTTCCACGTGTTACACCATAATTGGACGCTATCAAAATCATCTTGAATCCTACTTAATACACATGACACCTCATTTCTGAGTGAGTGATACACTATTTTCATGTCATCAGCATATATTGCTGCAGGAACAGCAATATGCAATTTGAAGGATCGATATTTTTTCTGACTTTTATGAGGGCTTAGATCTTTATCTTGAAAAAGATAATAATAAACGCCTAGACCGATCACACTACTGCTTTTAAACATATACCATTCGCTCAGCCTATTGTTGAGATGCGACCACGTGGGCTCTGCACAGATTTATGGGGCATCTTATAAATTAACTTGCTATCCATTGTCAGATCTTTAAATACCACTTCACAATATCTTATCTCATTCATTTTCTAATAACGTCTTTACTTGATCCTCACTATCTTCCATTAAACCTGACATTTGGTGGCTCTTTATGAATTTGATTCGCCTAATTCTATTCCTATTCTCTGTAGGGTACGGTTTGCGCACCAAATGCACAAAAAGGCATGAAATAAAAACAACCGGGTTGGAAATAATTGTATTAAAACCAAAAGTGGACATCATGATAGTACGATATATATGGGTAGCATTATACATTGCAAATGAACCTTGTCAGCTTAGGGATTATATGGTTTCCCATTGTATTTGCTTTATAAATGCATTTATTAATCATACTTGCACTTACTTATTTCATTACACTTTAATGATTCACCTTAGCACTTTAACTTTTCCAAGACAGCTTTCAATCCCTTGTAAACGTTGTACTTACCTCAATATTGGTCGGTTATCGTATGTCTACAACCACTGGATGAAAACGAAACGAAGTCGATTTTCCCGCTCAACCTGGAGGACAACCGTACAATTCAATAACTATACGGCCTGGTTCAGACAATGAGTGTATTTATGTATATATCAAGTATTTAACTGTTGAAACACAATTAACTTGTAGACAATCTACGATTTAAGACTATATCATACTTGATCGTGCCTGTAAAAATGGCATGCATTTTCATGCAAATTTATGTTTATATGAAAATATAAATTATTATTTTATTAATGATTATTGTACTTGAGTGTCGCGTTTTATTTCGTCGATAGTGCGCGCTGCTCACAAAAGTGTGAAAGTCGTTTATAATACGTTAGTTTGTTTATTGTAAACAATGTTTTAAGCAGCATTATCTGGAAAAGGCTCACCGCAGCATTTGCAATACAGTGAAATCAGGAGTGTGCATGTTGTACAAATCTGCTGTGCCTTTAGTTTGGATTTAGTGTTCATCAGGGGCCATTTAAAAACTGTTGAATTTTGTATGCGATCAAGCTAAAATTATAACTGGTTATTCCGAGAATTGTTGTCACTTTGATTCGCAGCAGATCACTGCCTATTGAGTTTATACAAATACAATACCCATTTCTCAGTTTACTGAGGAGACATTAACTAGGATTCTAGAAAAGTAGTGCGTCAGTATGTGAATTTTATGAATCTTTAGATTGCATTCCATTCACTTAATACTGAAACTAAACTATGAGGGAAATGATATTCCCAAGAAGGATATAATACCAGGCTCATTTCTACAACTGTCGTCCTTATTTTGGTTCACTTTCATCATACATGTTGTCAATGTAGTTGAAGATTGAACGATCAATTCATGGTTGTTTGCTCAAAACCAACTTCCCCAATTCTCGCGGAGGCATCAATACACCAGTCATCATCGGTCGCTGTTCAGAAAGAAGTCAGGAGAAAACCGTCAGAAGTAATATAGTGATTTATAATTGTTATATTTGTTCATAGACTTCAGTTTTAAAGCTTAGTTTTAAAGTTGGCTATATGTTGGTGTTACAATAAAGAATTGTCG